CAGCGTTTGGGCTGATCTCCATTTCCCTCCCCTCTGCTGGGCCCGGGTTTCCAATATCTGCATTTTTGCTGACGTCTGGGCTGCAGCTAATGGCCAGCTCCGAATCCATTAGGTTCGCTGTGTCCCGGTCTCCGGATGCGCTTCGGGCATCAATACCTGTTCACCCCACCATTTCCTGACGCTTCCACTGCCGTGGGCTGACGGCAGCTCCTGGGGTCAGAGCTGAGCAGGGTCAGCACAGCCGGGAGCTCCCGTTTCTAATCCAAGCCAGCCTGCAGCAAGCCCCTCTGCCAGCTCCAGCTCTGCCATCGGCGCAGCCGGAGCACCCAGCAGGCATCATGCCCCACACGGCAAAGGGGTGGGAATTCCACCCTCTGAACTACTCTTGTTTTAAGTTTCCAGCTAGTAGTGCCCGTGGGTAGGGACTAGGAGATTTGCACCCCCCCGACACACACACCCCCCAATCTCCCTGCTCCCTTGAAATGCTCTCAAACAACCCACTGCCCGGAGCTGCTCCCTGGTGGGACAAGGGAGACCATATCCCAGCACATCTGACCAGACCTAACCCCTACTCCATGCTTGTGGAGTCTGCATCATCTCATGCAAAATTAATTAGGTTAATTACAGAAAAAAAAAAAAAAAAAAAAAAAAAAAAAGAAAAAAGAGGCAAAGGGACTCCAACAACCCCAGACTGGCACTCTGTCTGGAAAAGTCCACAAGACGCATGACACTGTCGTCCCCCCCCTCCACCACCCCTGGGAAGGTGCCAGGGGCATGGCCCTGAGCCAGGCCCTCAGGTGCCTGCCGTGCATTGTCACCGGCGGAGCTGGGTAAGTGTTTTCGGCTGAATAGTTATTGATTGAAAACTGCAGTTTCCAGAGAGCTCAGAGCTATTTGCTACTTCACGACAAGTTTTGGACAAGAACAGAATGCTTTGTTTTCCAAGCAAAAAGTCTCAGTTTGCATTGTTTTGTTTGAAACTGAGCTGCGCTACATTTAAAAGAAAAGATAAAGGGTCTCTCAAACTTGGCTGTGTTGGTTTTTGGGTTTGTTTTTTTTTGTTTGTGTTGTTTTTTTTTTTTTTCCTTCCACTCCAGCTTTTCATTTTGGGCACTAAATCAAGCAATTAATTATTTGTTCAGCTCTGCTCTCCAGACAAACTGCGAGCATCACAAGCCAAAGGGCCAGAGCAGCTCTGCCCGAGAGGAGGGTGTTGGTGTTTTCTGTGCTGCAGGCTCCTTTCAGACCTCAGCTCCAGCTCCCTCCGAGGCCAAAGAGCACTCGCCCACGGGAAGGAGAGCAGGTCCCTGTGTGAGGAATGGCATGTGACCCACGGAAAAGGCATCCGCCTGCCCCAGTGGGCAGCTGTTCAGGACACACCACCGAGAGAGGTCACGGCCGCTGCTTGAAGGACATGACAGAACGTTGTGGTTTGAGCCCAGAGGGCAGCTGAGCAGCCGAAACCGGGAGATAGGAGCAGAGCATCCCATGCAAACTGCCCTCCCCAGTGCCAGCACATCACACCGAGGAACCTCACGAGTCCTGGCGGTACCTGGCACTGCAGCAGCTCTTCCAGACACCATCTCTCACAGCGCTGAACCCCGCTCTGGCAGCTGCGGCGGCCCTGGGGAGCCAGGCTCACACACGGGGCACCTGACAAGGAAAAGCAATCCTTTCCCTTCCCCTGAGTGAAAAGCAGCCTCGCCGCAGAGAAGGCCGACGCTCACCGAGAACCAGAGCTCACGGGTGCAGCCTGGTGCTGCTTCCACCAGCGACTGGCCCAAACTGGGAGCTGTGCTCAAGCAGCCACTCTCGTGTCTTCCTTGCCCAGAGCTATTCCTGGCACTGGTGCCCTCAGTGCCCAAGCAAGGCTGAAAGCAGAGCTCGTCCACAGAGGAATGGAACAACTGCACTATAAATAGCAAACCAGGACGGCTCAGGGCAGGCTCTAAAAAACCCAAGCAGCAATAGTGCTGTCCACTCAGGGTGCCCTGGGCGTTTTGTAAGACCTGAAGCGCTACCTGAGCTACAGAGGGGCTTACACATTGCAAATAGGCTCCGACAACACTGTGGAGGAAGAGCTGCTGGCTAGGCTAGGAGACTGAAAGCTTATCTGCAAAAAAGCATACAGGGCATTTTGCAAACTGGAAATGAGGTAGCGACTGATGGGGGCAAAAAAAGGAGGGGATGTGGATCCCAGTGGGGAAGCGGTTCCCAAGGCCAGGCGGTGGAAAGGAGAATGCTCCCAGCACCCAAACTCCTTACAGACCATTCCCAGCACTGCTCCCCTCCTCCTGCTCCTTGTGTTCCCATCCCTGAGGCTTCTCACACTGCTGAGCTAAATAACCCCTGAACTCGCACACCAAAGGACAAAGGCAAGGAAGAAACAGCATACCGCAACTCAGCCAAGCAGCAGATGAGTGGCTCAGGACAAAAGCTCACGTCTTCAGCAGTCCACAGCAACCAGCCTGCACCAGGAGCGGGACAGAAGCATAGGAGCTCAGCCCATCCTGTGACCATCAGTGTCAGGTTTCCCTCCTACCTCCAGCAAGAGTCTTACCCTTCCCGCCACACTCGTCCTCCCCGCTTCCTCTTCCCTGCTGGTGCCAAAAAAATCCTTTACCTTCCCCTTCACACTGACGGTGTATGTCCTGTAAAGGGATCTCAGCCTCCGCAGCTGAGGATGCGACCGGCCTCCTGCTCTCAGGGGGGAGCCCTGCGCTTTCAGCAGTGCCGCAGCACGGCTCCCCGGGGCCGGCACGGGGAGTAGGGGCGCAGGGGAGACAGTTGGGAACACGGGGAGAGGCGTGGGCGCACAGGGAAGGTGCAAGACCTGAACCGAATCAGCCAGCCTATCAACGCGCACACATGGACAGGGAAGCAGTTGCTTCCTCTGACAGAAAGTTTGGGGTTTTTTTTGTTTTTGGGTTTTTTTTTGGGGTTTTTTTTTTTTTTGTCAGAACAGGAAGATAGCACTTAAAAAAAAAAAAAAAAAAAAACCCAAAAAACAAACAAACCCCAAACCCTTCCTTTAGTGCTCACAGATCACTAAAACCAGCCAGGGCACAAGATGCAAAAGACAGCCAGTGCTGACTGCAAACCCACCTTGAGAATTTCGGAAGTCCACAGCTCACTTCCCTCCTCCCCCACAGCTCTCCTGTCACCCCTCGCCCTTCCTGCTCTGTGCAGCAAGCAAGAGGAGAGGTAGAGGTCTTGAGTTTGGCTGAGTTTCCACTCTGGGGACAGAAGCTCGATAACAGACTGGGCAGGATGTGAGCACCCGTTGAGGAAGAGGATTAGTAACCCCCTAATCTGCACATTTTTGGAGTCTAAGCACTTTACTCCGCTCTCTAATTAAACCACAGAGTGCAGAGATTGCCAGAAGGCGGAGAACAAGGAGGAAGAAGGAAAGGAAACAGAGGCTGTGGCTTAAAGGCTGTTCCTTGTGGCTTAAATGTAAGGGGGGTGGGGGGCGGTCACTGGTGGGGATGTATTTCACCTCAAGTGCTTTATGCCAGGGCTGCTGAGCACCCTGTTGCCTCCCCTGACCCAGTCCAGAGCAGGGCTGAGGGCGGGATGAAGGGGAAATCTGTGTGATGGCCTGGGGACGGCAAAGGAGGGAGCAAGGGGCTCCATCAGCCCGGACGAAGCTTTACCTGCGCCAGGCACCACTCCCCACCGGAGTCCCCTGCCTCCTGGGAAACAATCCGAGCGCCAGACCATGTTTGTCTCCACTTCACAGACCTGTCTGCACAGAAGAGCCTTGTTCAAGCGCTTATCTGGCTCCAGGCTGGGGAGGGGCCGGGGCCTCGCTGCCCTGGCACCCAGGCAGGACGTTCAGCTCTGCGCCGGGCTTGTTTGGGGCTGCCTGGCAGGGGAAACTTTCCTGGCACAGGTAAAGAGGGAAACCTTTCACCGCAGCCCATGACAAGCAAAGCAGTTCAAATAATGGCCCCGTTCCCTCAAGCTGCGTTCAGGTCCACGTGCCTGGGCTGAGAGGAGGCAGCAAGCCCGCGCCTCCGCTCCTCGCCGCTGGCACTTCAGCACGAGTGGGGACAGGGAAACCGCCTCAGCCCTGGGGACAGGAGCTCTCTGGGCTGCAGCACGCCATGGCCCCGCAGCACAGGGAGCAAGGGAGCTGGGAATAGGAGTGCTGGGGAAGGGCCTCACCTCCCAAAATGCTCTGCCCCACCAGACTGAGGCATGGGGGGGGGGTGGGGGGTGTGTGTGCGTGTGTGCAGGGGCTGCCTGTCACTCCAGCGTCCCTCTCTTCCCTCGCTCCTATTCTCTGGAATTCCTCTCTTCTGTTTGCTTTGTTTCAGCCCTCAATGAACAGGAAGAAAAGGGAAGGAGCCTTGACAAATCCGATCAAGGCGCAGACGCGCTGAGGCTCCCTCCTGCTGGCATGCCAAGCCCTGCACTAATGAGGGGTAGAGGAGAGAGAGGTGGCCACTGCGAACAGTGGCCCGACAGAAACACTTGGTGTAAGGGACAGAGGGAAAAGAAGCGGCGAGGGCAGAACAACGCCAGCACAAGCTCCCAGCTGTCAGAAGCGGGGGTTCTTCCCATCTCCCCGGGCCCAGGGAGCTTGTTGCAGCTCCTCAGCCCAGGTCCCAGTCACCTACTGCCCACTACACTACAAACAAGCAATAAGCCATAGTAGTGTCTGGGGAGAAGGATCCAGACGTGCACATTCAAGGCAAGTTCAACTGAAACAGGCACGGAGATGGGAACACACTTTGTTCCAAGGATCGACGTGGGGCATCTGGTCTCTCCCTCCAGAAAACTGGGCCGGGGGGGCTTATAAGTGCCAGTGTTGTCTCCAGATCCTCCCTGCAGGTCCCAAATACCCACTAAGGGCCCAGTAGAGAGGAAACCCACAGAGCCAAGACCTTCTGTCACGCAATTATCCCCAGTTTACCCCTTCAGATACAGAAGCACTAAGACAGGAAGGGAGCGAGCACATGTAAACCATTTACTTAACAAACAGGATAACTAACCTTTGGAGGCTGCCAATGTTGCGGGGGTACCTGGGAGCTGCTGGAGAAGCTGGCAGGGTCTGGTGGTGGCTGTGAGGACACCCTTTAACCAGGGATTCTCAGCCTGAAGGGCAAACAACACATCTCAGCTGTACTTCAGGGTTTTGGAGCTCGCTGTCACCTGAAACCCAAAAGACAAATGGTCACATGGAGACGTACTGCATAAGAGAGCTCTGGGGACAGGCTCCTGCACAGCCAAGAGTGTCACAGATCAGCAGCACCCAACACCTTGGTCCCGTCCCTTTCCTCCAGCCTGTTACAAAGCACAGCTCAGTGTCACCCAAGGCTTCCCAGACAGCCCATGGGAGAATACTTGCATGCTGCATGTTCCGAGTCCCAGATCACTGCGCTGCCCTGCAGCACGCTCCCCACCCACGCAAGGAACACTGTACACGTGTCCCCAGAAGTGCTGGCAAAGCCACAGCCACCGTGCTCCACCGCAACACACGTGAGGCCCCACACTGACTCTTCAGCAGGATGAGGATCTGGGGGAGGGATGCAAGTTCCCGGGCCCCCTCCCAAACATCGTAGCAGCAGCGTTTAGCTTGTGAGGCAATGAAGGGATTAACTATCCTGTCCAGTAACCTGAGCCCCTGCGACATACCCTGGGCAGTCCCAGGAGAGGAGTCAAGAGAGTCCAACCAGATAGACACACAACAGGGAGAGAAAAGGGAGGCAAAAACAACCATGCAACTTGCGCTGCAGATAGCAGAGCAGCCTGCACGTATCACTCCTCCTCCTTGGCTGGGAGCTTGCCAGTGCACTCCCTTCCTCCAGCTCCCATGGAGTTTGGCACCCACACCCCACAGCTGCAGGCTGGAATGGATGAGTCCTTCTCCCAGGAGGTTACAGGGATCATCACCTCCTTATCCAGAGAAAGCCCGAACCAGAAGCACAGAGCCACGCGAATAAGTTGGGGTAAATGAAGCAGAGAGGAATCAGGAGTTTTGATTTAAAGCCCCTCTCTATCCACAATCCACACATCATTGCTGCGAGACGCAGGAGGAACGGGACCTTCAAAGCAGGTAAAACCTACCAAAACCATCTTTGTGGTCTGTCCCACCTGTTTTAAAACCCCAAACAGAGAAGTAAGCGTGCAGCGTGCTGGGCACCAGCCCCATTAGGGCTAAAGGACTACACCACAGCAAACCCCAGGTCAGCCTGGCACAGCACAATACAAAACAAGGGAGGCAACATCAATCCCAACAAGGGCTGGAAATAAGAAATAATTCACAACCGCTGCTACCTGAACAGTGAAACCCAGAAACTCAAATGAAGAAGTACAGCACCATAATTGCCCGGCAAAACCCTTCTCCAGCAACAAAGCATGACACTACTACTGCTTTGTGAGTCTCCCTCAGTATCTGGCTACAGGGTGGCAGCCAGTGAGACAGGACACGTATGGATGCTACAGCACACGTCAGGAAACGGACGTCCATCCCCTCCATCACCCCCACTCCGCTTGTCCTCATCTGTCAGCTCCCACCTCAGACCAAAGGGGTCTAAGGAACCTCAAAGACAGATACTTCTGGAGCAGGGGGGACAGGTTATGAACCAGGATGCCAAATCCACCCGGCACACGTCCCTTTTGCAGTCACAGCCCTCCCTCTGGTGCTACCAGAGCCCTGCGTTTCCAGGGAGCAGCTCAGCAGGTAAGAGCCAAGCCCCTGCCACCCACCTGGGATAGGAAGCAGAAGCCGCCGGCAACAAGACCGAGTAGTTTCAGTAGCAAAGAGCTGGAAAAAGCACAGGCATCTTCAGCAGAGCTAACACTGAGTGGGGAGAGCCAGGCACGTGCCTGCCACACGCAGCAAGCAGGACCCACCACGGCACGGCCACCAGCGTCACTGGGAAAGCAGCTTTCAAGAGCCTCAGCTCCAGCGTGGAGCCCACGTCCAACGGGTGCAACCCGGCCACCTGCAGTTCCTGACACAGCACCGCGCACGGGACCTGCAAAGACCCGCAGCGTGGTGGCACCCATCCCCAGGCCCGCTGCCTCCTCCAGGTGGGGTCTGGGGAGCCAGGGTGAGGCTGGGGGAGAAGGCAGATATCACAAACCACAAGCAGTTGCCCCCCCTCCTCACCCAAAAGCAAGTTGCAGCAGCCTCTCCCTCAGGGCCCAGCTGCATCTCTCCCTTGGAGCGTTTCCATTAACTCAGGCCACCAGAGAACTGCATGTCCAGAAGTTTTTTCCAACTACATCACAAGGTTATTAAAAGACACGGCCTCTCCCGCTCAGCCTGTAGCGGAGGCAGATTTGGGATATTACAGGAGACTGCACATTGCTAATGAATCAGGGAAGGGAGTTACCCAAATAACAGCCTGGGGCTCTAAATGGCTTTCTGGAAAAGGCATCTGGAGGCAGGAGGCAGTCACTGTCTCACAGCAGGGCTCTGCACACATTGCCAGACGTGTCGTTCCTCCTGGGAAGCCAAAAAGAGTCTCTCTCCTGGGATGCCAAGTCTCAGCTGAGCTGGGAAGGGCAGGGACACCCTGACAGAGAACAGCAACAAAATGCCTCCAAGTCAAAACACGCATTAAAAGACCCCTTAAGCCTGTTTGACCTGGGTTTCCCAACCCCTCAGACTACCGCTTCAAGCAAACAGACCTGTCAGCAACACTTCAGGAACTCAAGGACTACACCGACAACATCCCCTGCGAGCTGCTGCCTTTCCAGGCTCCAAGAGGGCTGTTGGAGATCAGAGGTGTGAGCTGCCACCACCAGCAAATGCCACGCTCGTAGCCTGATGTGCTTCGTTGCCCTTGTCTCCTCATTTGGACAGAGATTTGGAGCTCTCCTGAAAGGTGCTGGCCTCCAGTGAGATACCATGAGTGAATCAGGCCTTCCATTCCAGGCACGGCTCATGTGTCAGGGACTAAAATACTCCCCTTGGACATGCTTCTGCCTACAGGTTATTTGAAGTGAGTCACAATTTATCCCTAGCTATCCCAAAGTATTGGCTGAGCTCATCTAGAAGCAAAGCAAATAGACAGCCTCACCACGGTGTGGGAGCTGAGCAGGGCAGGAGAGGGTGACCCAAGGAGACAGGGCAAGAAAGGCCACCTCATCCCGTATCAGGACTGCTCCCTTCCAACCCCAGCTAGAGAGATCCACGTCCCTGACCTCATGCTGGCAGGCTCCTTCCCTCCCAGTGGCAGAAGGACAGCAGGAAAACATGGCTGGGGAGAATATCCACTTCCCCCACAACTACCAACCTCCCAAAACACAGGCAGGCATCGATATACTAAATCTATTCTCCCACACCCTGCTCCCCAGTTCTAACGCTGGCAGGTGCTGTAAGAACACATCCTCACCTACCCCGGCACCCTGCAAAGTATGTTTTGAGCAAGGCTTACTTAGGCTGAGCTGCCTCTGAGCCACGGCAGTGCTCCGCCCAGGGTCAGGCTCCCCAGAAATCTCACAGATCCGAGCAAAGAACGAGACGCTGGCAGCCAAGCAAGCTGGACTTCAGCACTGTACCCACCGACAGACTAGCAGAGCGTTTGCTTTTTTTTTGGTTTGCTTCTTTTCCTACCATTAGTGCCAAGCCTGAACCCCTCATCATCAGAGCACAGGATCTATTTGGCCTCAGTTACAGCCAGCGGATTTCCAGTAAGCATGAGCCCTCAGCACCAAGACTGATAATAAGTGCTAAGAAAGGAGCTGCTCAGAGATCTTTCCAGGTACAGTCGAAAGAGAAACTAACCCCTCAATCAAGCCCTTCACTTCCTACACGCGCCCCCCCCTCCAGGCACACCACAAGCCAAGGTGATTTAAGTCTTGCCTGGGCTCGTGGCTGCTCTGAGAAGCCACCCCTCCTACAGCGCTCCCTTGCAGCATATTTACCATAAAAAGTCAGCGTGATGCTACTCAAACTGTCCTCCAAACTTGCACAGTGGAGGAGGGAGGTGAACAGAAAGGGGGACAGGACAGACAGCGGGTGGGAAGGAGGCTGGGGGCTAGGGATGAAGGGGAAGCATCTGCCAAAAAGCTGCTCACTCAGGGACAGAGACACACTATCTAGCTATGCTGTTCAGAGCAGCCCAAGGACTTTGTGCATCAAGCTTCACCTCTGGCTGAAGACAAGGTGTCTTTGGCAGTGTCCTAGGCAGCCGGCTCTCAGATTGCTCTCTGGCAGAGCCGGAGCTTCTTCTTGAAGGAGAGCAGCTCCAGCAGTCTGCACTGGATATGCCCCTAGAGTCACCAGCAGCGCATACCAGCCCTCAGAAAGCCGTGCTCCAGACCTCTGCCGTGGGCTTCAGGTGCTACCTCACCCGCCTTGGTACTTAAACTGGCAGCTCAGCCACTGTGAAATTCAGAAGAGCTCACAGGTAGCGCTGCAAGTGAACGGAAAGTTGGGGGTAATCCCCGTGATCCCGACCAAAAAGGTTTGCTTAGCACCAGACACTTTGCCACCGGTATCTCGTGCCCTTTTTGAACTCGGCCTGCTGGAAAACAAATCCTCAGGGGAAGCCGGGGGAGAAGAGGAGAGATCAGAAAGGATGAAGTGCCTGCCCATGCAACTGTAATTCTTGCAGGGGAAGCTGCAGGCACACACTGCGTCCATTGTGTGGAGGTAACTGGACGGGAGGAAGGAGGGGCAGCTTGGCAGAGCTCTGTTTGCACTCGGGAGACCCGCGAGAGGCCACGGAACGCCTTCCTCACCCCCATCACCCCCTACCACCACCACCACCACCGCGCACCCTCCAAGGTTCAGCGGGAGGCAGCCGCCCAGCTGCACCACCGCCGATCTTTGCACCTCAAGGTGTGCCGAGGAGGGCCAGGCCCAGCACCGGGGAGGCCGGGCAGCACGGTGCTGGCCCCGTAGCCCTCCTCGTAGGGTAACGCCGCCGGGCTGAGCTGGAACGCAGTCCGTGGGGCCCAGCACCACTCGGCGTGGGGCGAGGAGGAAGGGGTCTGCGGGACCGAACGCAGGTTTGAGCCTTCTGCAACAGGCTGCTGCCAGACACGGGTCCCAAGCCTCCGCCTCCCGGCTGCGAAACGGGGGTTAATGCTTAATTAAAGTGCGGTAAAGACTCGAGGGTGACCGTGGCTGTGCAAATCCGGCACAGGATCCGGAAAAGAGCGGGGAAGCGCTGACAGCACGGCCCTGACCGCCTCCCTTCTTCACCTCGGCTCCCCCCCAAAACCCCCCCCCCCAGTCCCGGCCAGGGAGAGACGCTGCCACCCACGATAGGAGGTTGGCAGCCCCCCCCCCCCCTCCTCCCAAAAAAAAAACCCCTTTTCCCAGTCCCTGCCTGCAGTTTGCAGCCCTTTCTCCTGCCCCCCACCCAGCCAGCGGGCAGGGATGGTTCAGCCTTTGGAAAAAAGGGGGGGCTGCCCCTACCCCCCTCGGTCGCACCTCAGGCTTCCCGAAATCAAGCCCTCGGCAGGTGCGAAGAGGCGCTGGCTCCCCACTGCCCTGCCAAGGAGGGATCCAAACACGGTTCTGGGGTGCCCATCCGAGAAAATCCCCCCCCACACCCCCCGGGGCACTGGAGCTCCGGCACATCGGTGCCCACCGCCGCTGTCGTCCCGTGTCGCCCCCCCCCCCCCCCCCCCCCACCTCAACGCCACCGGGAACTTTTCACCAGTGTCGCCAGCAGCTCCCCCGAGCCGCCCCGCCGCCGGCTCCCCCCGTGGGGCTGGGGGCCAGCACTCGCCACGCCGCTAGTGGCCACCCCACCCCGGGCACGGCGCTGCCCGGCTCCCAGCCCCACGGACCGCCAGACCCACACGAAGGCCGCCCCCCGCCCCTCCTCCTCCCACCCTGTTGCAGCGCCTAAGGAACATCTCCCTCCTCAACACCCCCCCCACGCACCCCAAAAGCTGACCCGTACCCCAGCTCCTCACCCTGCGGCAACCACATCCCCCTATTTGGAACACCCACAACCCCTCACAGTCCGGGTCCGCGGCTCCCCACGCAGGCTCCCCTCAGCCTTCACAGAAGCCGGGGACCCCCCAATCCCGCACCCCTCTCCCCCAAAAAAATCCCGCCCCGTACCTGCCGGGCTGCCTCGGCGGCTCCCGCTCCTTTAACCGCCCCCCCCCCAAGCCCCGCCGCTCATCGGCCGCTCGGCGCTCGGCTGCCACGCCTGGCCCGCTCCGCTCGGCCAGCCCGGGGCCGGGGCCGGGGCGGGGCGCGCATGCGCAGTGGCGGCAGCCATGGCGGCGGCGGCAGCAGCTCCGGTGCCGGGCTGTGGCGGAGGCCCCGCGGCACGGCTGCGGCTGCTGTGCCAGCGCTACCAGGAGTACGTGAGGCGGCACCCGGCCGCCACCGCCCAGCTGGAGGGCACCGTGCGGGGGCTGTCCTACCTGCTGCCAGGTGCGGGAGGGGGGGGACAGGCCGGGGCCTGCGCCCCACTCCGGTACCGGCCGCCCCCCCCCCCCCCCCCCCCCAACCCCGGGGCGGGGTGTAGGGGGGCCCGGTGGGGCCTCACCCTTCGCCCCGCGGGCTGGTAGCCGCTCTCCTCCCTTCGCAGGTCGCTTCTCGGACTCCCACGCGCTGTCGGAGCTGGGTAGGTGGGGGGTGCGGGGCCGTTCCGCGGGGGGGTGGGGAGGAATTTGCTCGCCCCGCTGCCCTTCTGCCCTCGCCCCCCAGCTCCCCGGGGGGGAGGAGGCGGCAGCCCCGGTTTGTTTTCCGTAACCGCGGCGCGCTCTTCCAGTGTACTCGGCCTCCAACCTCCTGGTGCTGTTGAACGACTGGATTCTGCGCAAGGAGCTGCAGCGGAGCCTGCCCGTGGTAAGGTTGGAGCGGGGAGGGAGGGTCTGGGACACACGCTCCTTTCCTCCTGGAACCTTTCAGGGAGCGTCTGTGGAAACTTAACAGACACTTGGCTTCAGGTGCGTAGAGGCCGGCGGCGACCTCTGAGCGCAGGTAAAGAGCAGCCCTGCCCTGTAGCTCCTGGCTTGGAGGGGCGAGCAGAGCGCTCCCCGGGCCTCAGAGATCAGGCCCTGGCTTGCAGCTGGAGCTCCGCTGGTGTTTTTGAGAAGCTCAGAAGTTGAGCTCGGCAAAGGGGGATGCCAAATAACCGCTGCTGTTTCCAGAGCAATGGCTCTGCCAGAGCTCTGATCCCACCCCTCGGACTCTTTGCGTACATTACGGAGTGAAACAAGCCTTAGCACCTTGCTTCTGAGTCTCTTTGCAGCCCCAGGCTGGCTCCCAGCGCTCGTTAGACCCTTTGGGGAATGAGGAGGAGGGCGGTTTTCTCCAGACAGGCCCTCTTCTGTTGCAAGCCTGCCCGCTGTGTGGGTTTGGGTGTAGGCTGGAGAGCCAGGCCTGGAAGACTTGCTTCGCTGGCTGTTAAAGGCCGAGGTGAATTTCAGCTGAATTGTCTTTATTGATGTTTTTCAACGGGTTAAATCCCATGGTCGGCAGCACCAGCGAGCTTCCATGTGGGGAACAGGGACCCAGGCTGGAAGAGCACCCACTGTCTTGGGGTTCCTGCCTGGAATCCCGGACTGGTGCTGCCTTCAGCAGGCATTCGCTCCGCTGTGAGTCCAGGTCCCCTTCCCTCTACTCCAAGCGTACTCCCTCGTCAGCTCTAACCAGGGCAGTGGCTCATCGTGTGTCCCAACTCTGGGACAAGGGATAGGAGAGAGTTTTGCTGTGGAGTTCAGTGCCATGACCCCTGAGACTGTCCTGCTGTGGCAGCCAGGGAGAAGGCAAGCCAAGATACAGCTGTGGTGTTCTCCCTCTGTTTCTGGGGTGGCAGCTCTGCGTGATACTGCGATGTCTCGGTCGCTCTGTCGCTCTGCCTGTGCCTAGATTCTCGCTGCAGTGGAGGCACCACATTTTGTTTCTGGGGCTGTGACTCCCGAGTGTTTATTTCCAAGGGTCCTGCCAGCCTGGGCTGTGCTTCTCCCCTGTTTAACTCCCAAGCAGAACCTGCATTCTGTCCCCCTCCTCTCCTCTGTGTTTTGCAGTCGCTGCCCCAGCAGAAGCTGCTGACCTGGCTGAGCGTGCTAGAATGTGTGGAGGTCTTTGCAGAGATGGGGACAGCCAGGGTGTGGGGGGAGATGGGCCGCTGGACCATCATTGTCCTCATCCAGCTGGCCAAGTAAGTGCTGTGGGTGGAGGGAAAGGGGCAGCATGGGCTTAGAAAGGGGATCGGGGGGGTGAGGCCTGGCAGTAGCTTGGGAAAAAGCCCAAGCAGGACTGAGCTGCCGGTCCCTGAGGCTGGTGGAATTTGGAGCCCTGAGCAGACCTGAGTGTTTCCCTCTTCTGTGGAAGTGGCCTTTCTGGTGCAACCGGAGCCCAGCTCCCATAGCCTGGTGTTGAAGGCTTCCCTGTGTCTGCTCACAGAGCCATCCTTCGCCTCCTGCTCCTGCTGTGGTACAAAGCCGGCATCCAGACATCTCCTCCCATTGTGCCGCTGAACAGGGAGCAGCAGCAGCCTCTCCACCCCCAAGGTGAGCCCCCCGCTGCTGTCGTCATTAACTTGGAGCCTCACTGGGCCACAGGTCTTGCCTTGCTAGGAAATGCTCCTTGGGGCAGCAGTTTGGGTGGCACAGGGAGCTGTAAGGCTTCAGTACACAAAGCTGAGCTGCACTGATCTCTCCACCTTCTGCAGAGCAGGAGTTAGCTTGGTGGCAGGATTGTCCCCACAGTCTGGAAGGAGGGGGGTGGAGGAGTCCAAGCCTGGCTGAACTCAAGCTGCATGTCACCATGACGGTGAAGAAAGAAGGTCCTAGGCCTGGGCAGTGTCAGGCAGATGGACCTTTTCGCCCTCTGCGTAGCGTTAGCCCCTTCAGCATGGTCTGGTTTGCGCTAGATCAGACTTTGAGTCTGGTCTTCTTGATGGCAGTGTAGGGAAGGGGCACTGCCAGCTCTGGGGTGGGACGTGTTCCTTTGGAGCCTGACCCTTGTGGCTGTTTTCTCCTGCAGACATGGAAGACAGCTCCTCAGGGAAGGATCAGACCTATGTTGGCAAGCGTTCCAGCCGTGTTGTGCGCTCTCTCCAGAGCAGTAAGCAGCTGAGCCTGTTTTCTGTCCTTGCCTGAGCTGTTTCTGCTCTGTGCCCTCTATGTATGACCTGGGTGTGGGCAGTAAAGAGCAGAACCTTGTGTTGGGGCGTATCCTGCCAGTCACTGGGCCCTGTGGGTGGGAGGATGTCAAAGCAATGGGGATTCAGGCACGTGCTACAAGGCTAGCACTTAAATTGTATTTTCCCAAGTGAGCTGTGCAACACAGTCTACCCTTCAGTGTGGTTATGCTTTCAGAAGGGGGGGTACCTTCCGGGTACCTCTCCCTGCTCTGTCCCCTCTGGAGGCAATCCGAGGCCAGCCACAGCCGTTGCTGTGCGTGCAGCCCGTTGAGCTTTCCCGTTTCACACCTTCACGGCACAGAAAGCGGGGTGCTGGGGGTGTGGGGAAGCGCGGTACAAAGGTTTTATTTGTGTTAGTGACCCGATCTGCTCGTTTCAGCCCCGTCCCTGCAGTCCCGGCACTGGGGATCCCCCCAGCAGAGGGAGGAGTCGCAGAGCCGGAGAGCGGAGGAGATGAACCAGCCTCCCACCCCTCTGGGTCTCCAAGAAACCATCGCAGAATCCCTCTACGTTACCCGCCCTCTGCTCCACCGTATCCTGCCCTGGCTGCCTGCGGGCTCATGCCGTACCCCGGTGCTGCGGGCTCGGCCCTGGTGCAGGGCAGTGCCACGCCAGGCTTATCTCTCCCCGCTTGCTCCTTCGCTTGAGCAGTGGCCTCGGGGCTTCTCCTTTCTCTTACAACTTGACAGCTAGCCTTAGCTGCTGGAGTTGTGGGTGCAAGTCCTCCAGCCCCTTCCCTGGACCAACCCTCCCCCCCTCAGCACTGCCTTGCAGGGTGTTCTGCACTCAGCAGAGCTTTGTTTGTACTCGCTTGTCTGCGTGCCTCTTGTCAGCCATCTCTGGTTCTTTCCATTCCTTGACTGTGTGTTCCTAGTACTGAGTTTGGGAGTGTGGGGCCAGAGATCATGGAAACCCTGGCTCCTCTCAGCAGTCCTGGACATCTCGAGGTTAGTCTGTGGAAGAGTCTTTGCGGGTGCTTGAGATTGGTGGTGGCTGAGCATCACGCTTCCCCCTGCTCCCCAATCCTGGGCAGGCCCTACTGAGAGAAATAAGCACGGCTGGGAGACTGACACATTTAGGTATCTTCTGCAACACGTAGTGCTCTCTGTTCTGAGCTGGTGGAGCCCGCTCTCCGTGGAGCTGAGAACAGAGGGCATTTAGAAACCTACTTTTCCCCGCTGGCTGCTGTTGCTATGAGTTAGCTCTCTGCCCTTCTCCTTCCAGTCTGAGCTTGCTGAGTGATCTGAAGGACCTGAACAGGCGAGAGCGAGCGGAGCTGAGGCGACGAACCCTCTTCCTGCTGTACTACCTGCTGAGATCTCCTTTCTATGACCGATATTCAGAGTAAGGGGCCCCTGCTGGGCTTTTGCTGAAAATTTCCCTTTTATCAGAAGTAGTGTCAGGGGACTAGGTGACTAGGTCTGAGAAGGTCTGGGTGCCTGTGACCAGGTTAATCTGAGCCCTTGCACAACAGCTGTCGTGGCTGTTCATGCGTTCAGCAGCTGGGGCAAGAGGTGTCCGGCTGGACTTGTTCACACTCTCTCCCTTTTTAGGGGCAGAATCCTCCTTCTTCTGCGCTTGTTGGCTGATTACGTGCCCGGAGTTGGCTTTGTCACACGTAAGTGGGCCCCACTGCTGCATCCACCTTTCTGGTGGGTGGAGAAAAGTCAGAGGAGCTGGGCAGAACACTCATCAATTGGTTTCCAACCTGAGAAAGGAATGGGGAAGTCCTTAGAATGGTTAGCACCAGTGCACACCGTGTTGATATTTGCGTTGTTTTAAACTGGAATAGGAAAGGATGAATTGCTTCCAGGCTCAACCACAGTGGTAAAACTCTGTGTGCCCTCCCAGGCTGCAGAGCTTGGTTTTTGCCACCTAGGCCTGTTCTCCTGGGCTCCTTTTCTGCACCTCAGCTGATGCACCAGAGCTCTGCAGCCCTGTTTCTGAACTCTTTTTCCTTGATCTCCAGTCTGCAGTGCAGACACGAGGGGTAAACGGGTGCCTAGAGGTGTTGACCCAGGTAGGAACCAATGGTAAATCAAAGGCCTGAGCCAGGTCTGTCTTCTAGTCCTTCACCAGAGGATCCCTTTATTATGGGCCACCTCCCCCCCTCTTCCCTGCTGATGTGAAGCCCTTTCATGGAGTGATTCATGGCAGTGTGATGTGGCACCAGATCAGCCTGGCATCGCGGGATTGTCCTTTCTTTGGGGAGGTCACAAAGCTGGCTAGCTCGGGAGCCGCTTCCTCCAGTTAGTGATTTCAGAGAGGCGCTGGAGCCGGCATTAAGTCATGTACTACATAAGCATTTTCACTCCGCAGCGGTTGCTTCTGTGTCTGCACCTGCTTGTTACTGCTGAGTTGTCTTCCCTCTTCCCCGTGCCACAGCAGTGTCCTCCCAACTCGTTGCACGGGGCTTTTCCCCTCGCACGTTGCAGACCCCCCCTTCCCAGCGGGGCTCGGACCTGTCAGCTCGGAGGGAGCGGTGTCCCGCGCCATGGCGGTGCTGGCTGGGTTTCACACCCTGCTCGGTCCTGCTCTGATCTCGGGCACCACATCCCAAAGTTGTCTCCCATCTTTTCAAAAGTAGCTGTTCTGTTTTTGGGTTCCTCTGAGTTGTATCGCTGGAGATTTGCTGGGTATCGTAACAAGAAGGGGGGGACTTACCCCGTATACATACAGCTTCAAATTCTTGCTTTTCTACATGTGTGATCCCTCTGTTCTCTTGTTTCAGGGCCGCTGATGGATTACTTGCCTGCTTGGCAGAAAATCTATTTCTATAACTGGGGCTGATGAGAAGATGAGGATTATTCTCTGCTCAGATCATGGCTGGACAGTTCTAAGCAGGCTGGGGGAGGAATGTTGATAATGTCTAATTTTCAGTTAAACCATCAATGAGAAGCTCCCGTTCTGCAGGGTGGGGTGGGGGTTATATGTAATTTTTTTAACAGATCCAGCTGTGAATGATGGACTCTACATGTGTGGAGAGACCCTGGCCGTCTCTTTTTGTGGACCATTCTGTGGCTGCAGTGATGGTGATGGGACAACCTCTTTTTTTAAGCACTTGACTTTTCTCCTTTTGTACAGCTGCACTCTGATAAAGCCAGGCAGCGTAGCGGTTTTTTGGAGACCATTGTCTCCCACCTCATGGCGCTGAGGTTGACCTGCAGCCTGCTTGGGTTGGCCATGCCTGGCCAATCTGCTTGCAGCAGGCTTGTCTGTCAAATAAACTGAATGGAAAGAACTGAGCTGAAGGACCTCTCTCCTCCCTTGCATGGAATCCCTTCCTATCTGCTCTCTTTCAGAAAGAGCCGTTTTTGCAGTTAGAAGCCTTTTGCTCTGGCCTGTGTCAGGCAGGGCTCCGCAGGTTGCTCGGCTGCTGGCTGTAGCCTTTCTGACTCCGGGTGCCTGGTTCAGTCCCCAGTTTCCTGGGATTCCCCTGGGTGAGGAAGGAGAGCTACAGTTTGCAGGCTGCTTTCCTGGCACCTAACCTGTGCGAAAAGGGTTTGCAGAATGGCTGGCAGCCAGTGCTTGGGTGAGGGGGGGTTGGTTTGGCCAGAGGCAGAGAAGAGGAGAAATGGAGAGATTAACTCAGCAAATACTGCTGTGCCATGTTTCAGCGAGGGCCCGGGAGAGGCAGGGACAGCCGTGGCCAACTTCTTGTATCTGCTCTGCTAATGGGGGGCGAGTTGAGGCATCGATCCTGCTCAGAGAGCGGCTGTGGAGGCTCCCTTAGCCAGGACGAAGGGGTAGCCAGCTGGTGGCACTGGCTTGCCCCCCAGGCAGCCGCCAGCCCTGGGCAGAGCTCGGGAGGTCAGAGCCTTCACACCTCAGCGCCTGAACTAGGGCACGTATCCTCACACGGGCTCCTGAAAGGGGCCACCGCTGCTGGGGACTGGGGCAGCAAAGCCCTGGAACGTCGGAAAAGCTGTGAGCGAGGGACGGCGTTCCCTTCATTTGAGCTTTCAGCAGAGGAAGATGAAGAAGAGTGAAAAGTGTTGGAGGGGGTTCACTCCTGGGCACGGGGAGGAACTGAGATGAAGGGGAGTCTCTTTTGGAGGCGTTGAGAGGGAGGCAAAGGGTGGCTGGTGGCGAGGGCCAGGGAAGGGCAGGCCCAGCAGCTTACGGAGCAGGAGAGGGTAGGTAGCAGCACCCGGGTGGGGGTCTGCCCCCCCCCCCCCCCCCGCCCGACCCGGCTGGTTTCCCAGGGCTACCCCCGTGGCTCCTCTGTGACCTCGCCGTGGGGCTACCGTCAGGCTGCGCCATGCCTTGCGCGCTGCTGCTGCTCGCCCTGCTGCTGGGAGCTGTCCTCCCGCGGCCCTTGCCTGAGAGGTGATGACCCTTCCCTCCTCCTCCTCCTCCTCCTCTTCCTCCTCCTCTTCCCTGCCCCAGTACTTGCAGAGGTACCCCGGGGGCTCCTGGCCCTGGCGTGGGCCCTCCAGAGCTGGCCGGGCTGGGTGAAGACGAGCAAGCGGCGCGTGGGAGCTCTTGTGCCAGCACAGGTGAGCGCCAGCGGGTCTTGGCTCACTCCTGCCCCTGGTTTTCCTCTGCAGGCTCAGCTACTCAGTCCCCGAGGACTTCTCCGCACCCTTGGAGCTTCCACAGCAACACTTTGGCCTGGTGGATGGTACAGCACCCCTCCTCGCCAACCCCCCTCTCCACCCCGAACCCCCTTTCCATGCACTCACCCCTCCAGCCCTGTGAGCAGCCCAGGGCTGAGCCCAGCCTCTCCGCTCTACCTCCCCTCCCAACAGATTACGGCATCAAACCCAAGCAGCCCCGCTTCAGGCCCCGGCTGGCCCGGGAGCGGCCAGCGTGGCTGCGCAGAGCTGGCAAAAGCAAACGTGACGAGCTTGACTTGCTGGAGTACTACTACGATACCCGGCTCTGAGCCAGCATCCCCCCCGCAGCCCTGCCTGCCCGCTGCTGGGGGACAGCTGTAGGTGGGGTGTGTGTGGGGGTGGGGGGGTGTGCGGAGCGGTAAGAAGTTTCTACAATGATCTCTGGCCTCCAGGGATTGCAACCAGGGCTCCCAGACCAAACCTCCTCTTGGGGTGCCAAGGGAAGGAACGAGCGCGGGTCCGAAGGTGCTGGGGTGGGAGACAGACAGCACAGCAGCCCTGCTCCATGAACCATCATATTTAATAGTTGTTGCCGTCACAGCAGATCCAGCTGAAGCACGGAGACCGCTGGCTGCGGGGCCCAGGAGAGCTCTTCTACCTCCCTCCGCACGGCTCCCTGCAGGCTTTAGCCCTTCCCTGCCCTGCTTCTGGCCTGGGGGGCTGAGCCCCACCGCTCCGGGGTGGTCCAGCCCTGCTCTTGCCCCCTCAGCTGTGGGGAGAGGGCGAAAGGGGCAGAGAAGGGCTCCCCTCCCAAAGCTGTAGTTAGTGCGGGCAGGGGGGGTGGAATTTTTCTCTCTCCAGGGCCCAGCTACAAGAGGGGAGGGACAGGGGCAGAGGCAGGGGTGAGCCGTCTCAGCTCATCCTGGCACTGACAGAGGAGAGAGTGGAGGGGGGGGGGTTGGGGTGGGGTGTCCCCTCTGTCATCCCTGCCCAGCAGCCTTGTCCCCAAGGCCTGGCAGAGAGGCGATGCCCGCCCAGGGCAAGCCCCTCTCCCAGGCAGGAACCAGCACGTGGGTCCTTGTTTGCTGTAGCTGCTGTGTCTTCATGCTTTTGAGAGTCCGACTCCGCCACTGCATTAAAAGTCACCCCCCTCCCCCCCACCACCCCGAGGGACGTGACGAGAAGCTGGGCCGTGGTCGCAAGGAGGAGATGCTGTCACCCCAACCGGCAGCAGGAAAGGGCCCGAGCACACTGCTGCTCACCCCTTCCACCGCTCACGGGCAAGGCACCCAGCGGGTGCTTCTCCAATAGAATAAACTAAGAGTATTTTGTACAATAAACACAATTTGTCCAGCCCTCCCCCCTCCCGTCCCCCCCAGCCCCAGCCCGAGGAAGGGGAGTCACGAAAAGAGGCGGCGCTCCGGGCCCCAGGGAGCCCTGCCCCGGGCCCGCTCCTCCTCCAGGCTCAAAGCAGCTCTTGTCCATGCACGACACGGGGAAGGGGCGAGACTGCAGCCCTGGCTGTGCAGGAGGTGCCTGTGCCAGCCCCTACTCCAAGTAGATGTCCTCCGTGGGGCACGTGTACTCCACATACTCCTTGTAGAATTGCTGAAAAGCCCTCCTGCAAACACAGCACCGGGCAAAGCTGAGCAGCGTCCTCCCCGTGAGGCGTTTAGAGAGCCCCGCTTCCCTCCTCACCCTCGCTCCCCTACCCTGGGGACAGTTTGGTCCCTCCAGCCCCAGGCCCCTCCTGCGGTAACAGCCAGAGCTGCAGGGTCTCCATCCTTGCTCTGATCCCCTGCCCAGCGCACGCCTTTCAGTCATCTGCCTGCAAAAAGACTTGCACTGGGACTTCTCCCAGTGCCGCCAGGGATATGCTGCCTCTGACCCTACCAGCCCCAAGCCTCTCGCTTGAGGGAAGGGGTGCCAGCCCTGGGGGTATGTCCAAACCCCACACGCAGGGGGGGAAGATGGCAGGATTCAGCCCAGCTGCCTCGTTCCTCCCGCCCTTTGGGAGCAAGCCTTCCCTGCCCCGCCAGGACTCACCCGACGGACTCCGCCAGTGGCTTCGTGGACTCCTCGGAGACAAAGACATGACAGGCAAATCTGTGGTCAGCAGGGTGCTTGGTGATGAACCCAAAATATCTGAGGGCAGAGAGAGTGGGTGTGACTGGGCCAGCAGACGAGCAGGCACGGGTACCCCAGCATCCCCAAGGCGTACCCAACCCTTGAGCATAGGGGTTTGGGACCTGCACCACCCCCCAAACTACTCACTTGTTGTTCTTTGGATGGTACCCACAAAAGGAAATGTTCTTCAGCTGGAAAAAATGGCTACACTTGTTTACCTGGGGGAGAGAGAGAGACGAACTGTCAAAGCCTTCCTCCCCACCACCCGGCGGGGCAGCCAGACTCTGGGCCCTGGAAATATTGGACTGAGCAGTGAAATGAATTGGAGCCTGATCTGAAATGAAACCTGGTCTGAGTAGCGACATGAAACCGGAGCCAGTTTCAGGATGGGCCCAAGCAGCTGCACACCAGGTGCTCGTCCAGGCAGCCCTGCTGGTTCCCCCCCCACGCCGGCTACCTCTACCTCCAGCACCTTCTGCGGGGTTTCCCTGGAATGAGGCTGTACTCAGTCTCGAGTCACTGCTGCTGTTCACCCAGCACACACAGCCCTTCTCCCTTGCTAAAAAGGCTCTCAGAAATACCAGCAGATAGGAGGTGAATGCATAACTTGGAACTAAATAAGCCATTCAAGCCTGGGTGTTCAAAGGGTCCCAGCCAGAAATGAGAATGAGCTTATTTATACAAGTTTAAAGAGCAACTAAATTGACGGCATCCTCTAGGTACAGGCAAGGCTTGGTAGAAACCCCAGCCCAGCTCTCTGGCACAGCACTCAGAGCCATGAACTATTCCGATCCCCCAGCTGTAGGGGAGCTTTCCCAACAGCTTGCTGCAAAGCCCTCGCTTGCCTCTGGCCCAGCACCTCGACATGCTTTGCTAGGCTACTTATGCAGAACGCTAATCAGCAGCCTGCCCAAGCCAGCTAAAGAGATTACAGGGCAGATCTGGAGGACACCACCCGAAATAGTAGCAGAAAGGTTTAGGAGCAGCTGATAGATTTACCAGCATGGCTCAGCTCTCAGCATCCCAGTGCAGCAACACGCTTGGCAGCTGCTGGCGGTATGGCCCAAAGCTGGGATCCCGTGAGGCACGGGGGTCCCTGATGGTGGGTCTACGACCCTGCTGATGGTGTTTCTCACACCCTCAGACGTGGGGGGGAGGCCCTCAGCTTTCATATGCAAACACGATCTGTAGCAGAGGGGGCAGGAGCCAGCTCAGAGCAGCAGCCGGGGGAGGGATGAGAGGAGCGCGGAGTGGGGCACTACCTTGCTGTGCTCCTTGGGGTCGTCGGCTTTCACAGCAATCTTGACCCCACGCACGCTGATCTCCAGGACGCAGCTGGAGGGTGGGTTAAAGTGCACAGTGAGGCGGCGCGTGGTGGCAATCTGGGGGGGAGAGGAGAAGACAGAGAGACAAAGCCCTGGGACTCATGAGCAGTGATGATGGCACACCCCTTCCCTTCCCCACTGAGGCTCTGCCCTGCTGCCAGGAGGAGCAGGCCCTCCTGCCCCCAGGGGTGGGGGGGGACACTACCTTCTGCATGGCCGCGCACAGCACGTCGTTGCCCTTGTGATAGGGAACTTGCACCGAGCCAAGAAACTTCACCCGAAACTGGTCCACCCAGTCGCTGCTCTTGGCCAGAGCTGGAAGAGAGAGCAGGCGGTGGGGATCACCTCAGGTGACAGGGCATGTGGGCTGAGCTCCACCTTCCCTCTCCATATTCCCACCCCTGCATGTTTCCCTGCCCAGGGAGAGCTGCCTTGCAACGCCAGGTACCAGCTCCCAGCAACACACCAGAAGCTGCCCATGGCTCCCTGCTGGGTGCCCAACTCGGTCCTCCTTCCACCCCCCCAGCCGGCACCGGCCTCAGCTCAGCAGGGAGGGGGTGGACACAAGGTGGGGGACATCAGCAGGCTGCGTGCAGAGGCTTGGTACCTGTTACGTGGTCTGGATCCTTGGTGACTTCAATAGCGTAGTAGGCGGGAAAAATACCCCGGTCACCCGTCCGCATGTTGTAGGCCTCGTACCAATAATCTTCTGCCTGCACCTCCACCAGCAAAGGATCGTCCACCTCCAGCTCCAGCTCATCCGCGTGGCGAGGCACAAACCTGGGTAGAGAGGCACTAGCACTTGGCTGGCCAGCAGCACCGGTGGTCTTCTCGGCGCTGGTGGCCTGCCGGGGCAATGCAAAACCCAGCAGTGGCCCAGGCAGGCAGCACCCTGGCAGGTCTAATTAGCCACGGGGACCTGAGATGCGAAATAAAGCACTGGAGCGGGTTGAGGGACAAAAGGCGGCGGCATCCTGGCACCTACGGCGAGGGTATCCCCTGCTGCAGCACCCATGCTGCTCCCCAGAAGTCCTGGCTTGCCCCTGCAGAAGATGGGGCAGATGTTGCTCCTGGGCAGGGCATGAGCTATGGGCAGTGGTTTGGTCCCTGGGGCTTCCCACAATGGAAACACCGGGGCTAGGGCTGGCCCCACCATGGTGGGAGGGCAGCACTGGCTTTCCCCTGCGACGGGCTGGGGCCACCGCTCGCGCCAGCAAGCTCACCTAAAGACGGCGCGGTGGGTCTGCTCCTGCTCCTCCCCATTGATCACGCAGGAGAACAACCCGAAGGACTCGGCACCTGGGGACGAAAGCAGAGGGTGGGACATCTCAGCGCTGAGGGGTCAGCACCGCAGCCGAGGGAAGGACATGGGCCGGGCAGGCTGCTGAGGCTCTGGGGGGGATGGCTCGGCTGAGACAAAGCCACGCGGTGCCGCAGGAGAGGAAGGCATGGCCGGAGCCGCTGCACCGGTGCCCACCGGTCCCTGCTGGGGCCACGACCCCGCCCTGCGCCAACCCACGCAGCTGTGTCAGCTGGTGTCACCAGCAGTGTGGGAAGCCCTGCCTGCTGGGGCATGCCGCCAGCCCCAGCGCTCCTCCACACTTGGGGAGGAGGGTGGCACTCCAGGGGGGATGCTGTCCCCGCCGCGAGACCCCTCAGCCTCCCCCTCAGCATGGCTGTACGTCGGGCTAGCCAAAAAAGCAGCCTGGAGCATCTCCGCCTGCAAGTCGCAAGGCTTTTCCCCCCCGCGTGCCTCCCCAGCCATCAGGGCCAAAGCCACAGGCTGCAGCGAGCAGAGCTGGGGCTCATGTCTGCTGCTGGCTTTCCATCTCTGGAGCGTGTCCTCAGCCTTGTACCAGGGTCGGGCAGGGCTGCCCAGACCAGCAGCCACCAGCCCACCTCCCCCCGGCGCCCAGCACTCACTGGAGGAACGCGCCCGGCCACTCATGAAGACGTTGAGGAACTTCTTGGAGAAGTGGATGTCCGCCTCGGGGGTGGAGTCCTCGGAGAGGCAGACCGAGTCGCGCTTCAGCGCGTCCTCCTCGTACTCCTCGCCGATGGCCGACTCGTAGGGCGAGGAGACGCAGTTGTCGTAGACAGTGGCCGAGTCGCTCTCGTCGCTGTAGCCCGAGTAGCACTGCTTGAGGCTGACCAGCTCCAGCTGCACGTTCTCGTCCACCACCAAGGTGTATTTGACCGAGTCGTAGGAGAGGGCGCTGGTGTCCGAACTCACTGAGGCTCTCTGAAGGTTGTGGCCTGGCCGGCAGCCACCGTTCCCACCACCGCAGGAGGCCCTGGGCAGGTTTGTCTTGTCGGGGGAGGACATGTAGTCCAGCACCTCGTCCTCCTCACTGATGGAGGGGTTGGTTTTCCCTGCCAGGCCCGAATAGCCGGAGGTGTCGATGTCGGAGCTGATGGACATGCGGTTCTCACTGGACTGAGACAGGAAGGGCTTGTCAGTCTCCAGGGGATCCGAGTTCTTCTGCACGGGCGTCAGGTAGATCTCCTCCGTGGCTTCCAGCCTCACGTCTGTCTGGTAGCGGATGCGGTCCCGGTGAGCCTCGGGGCCCCTCGTCGTCACCACCACTACGCTGGCACCGTGCGGTGGAGGGCGGCTGGTGGCCTGATGCTTCTCGGGTGGCCGGGACGAGGCGACGCAGGCAGGTGCCATCTGGGTGGCCGCTGTGCGCCGGCACGGGCTCTCCGTGGATGTGCCCCGGTCTTTGGTGGAGGTTGTGCTGTTTTGGTGATTGACCTCATCACTCAGGCAAACGTGATCGTGGGGAGGGGTCTGCTCACCTGGAGGGGGAGGAGAGCAGCGTTGACAGCCCTGCAGAGGGTGATGCTCCCTGCCAGGGATGCCACCCGGACTCAAGATGAACACGCACCCTGCATCCATGCGGGACGGTTTCCCCCACCTCTCGCTCCAGCACCACTTTCCCCAGGCTCCTGAGAGGCACGAAAGGAGCTGCCCCCGGCCAACAGCCCAAGAACTCACCCGTTTTCAGAGGGGATGACGACCGGGACACCCGCTCCTGCCAACTGTGCTTTTTCCCCAGAGAGTTGTTATTCAGAGTGTCCTGAGGAGAAGAACAAAGCCGCCTTGTAGCCCAAACAGTAAACAGCGTGTGGCGCAGTGGTGGCGGTGGCACCCATCCCTCCCCAGATCTGCAGCACCCCGCTGGGCTCCTGCCCCACCTGGGCACACAGTGGTCGGGGACCCCCCCACACCAGCCCCACATCTCCCCACGTTGCTGCTGCGAGAGCTGGCAGAGTGGCCGGGAGGCAGCTGGCCTGGCTGCTCTCACCCACCCTGGGGAGACTCGGCTGTAGGAGCCCATGGATGGTCAGTCCCAAGCCAAAAAACTCAAGAGCTGAGCCCACCTGGAGCCCGCCTGGGCTGGGAGGGCATGCTTTGCTCCCATCCCCCTGGCCCTGCCAACCTTCAAACCACCCGACGTTATATACCCATACACGTATATATAGTTCACTAGCAGACATCTACCCTGATCAGCCGGAGAGGAGAGACAGGATCATGCTCGGACGAGTTTCTGTGGGTGCTGTGCTCTGCCTGCGTGGCCAGCCATGCCTGTGCCCACGCGTGCGTACACAGGGGAACACGTGCTCAGCCCCACTGTGAGATTTGGGGACCAAAGGCCACCAGGTCCCCTCTGACAAGGACCCCCCTGCGGATGGGGGACAAGTCCCTCCCTGCCCGCCTCAGCAGGGTATGACATCCCGCCTGCTGCAGCCCCAACCCCGGTCCCCATCCTCTCCTCCACCCCCAAATTCTCCCCTGCTGCTCACCCCCAGCCCCTCTTGCAGGTCACCAGGTGTTTCTCCTCCAGCTGCAGCAGTGACATTTTCCACACCGTTAGTTTTTGCTCAAGTACTAAGCCCCGTCGGGACTCCCTGGATTTTCTCACGGCCTTATCGCCAGCTTGCAGCTATTACCAGCAGCACAGGACCTGCCCCATCCTTGCTTTGCTTCCCCATCAACACGAAGCAAGTCTTTGCCCTGAAAACCCACCGAGTCACAGCTGCCAGATCCCTGCCTCCGCACGGGGAGGGGAGAGATCCCCGCCGCGGGGCTTCGGCGGGCTCCCAGCACGGCCTCCGCAAACCCCTCCTCTGCCAAGGCAAATAACGGCGCGTCCCCGCTTGCCTTTCCCAGGGACACGACGAGCCGGGACGCGGGCCAGGCGAGCTGCCGCAGCGCCGGCCCCTGCGTGCAAAGTGCCAGGGGGCCAGCACACCAGCCGGCCCGGCCACCCAGACCGGGAAGCAAGGAGAAGCTGGAGCAGAGGGTGGGACGGTGCCCTGCCCCTGCACACCCTGCCCTGGCTGGGCATTCAAGAGAGGACGACGCGTGGCCACCGTCCCTCTTCTAATCACTTGCAGGAGGCAGGAGCTGGGCAGGCCAGGAGGGTCCAGGCCTGGCACATCCCGAGGGATGCCCTGCACCCCGTCCTCTCCTCAGGGCACCACGCGTGGGCAGGGAAAATCTGCCTTAGGCACCCAGAGCTGGCACCTCAAGCTCCTTACAGCCAGCCTGCCCCCGGCACTTCTCCTGCCTCTCGCAAGATGCCACCGATGTGCCCACCACAGCCGTGCCCCAGCCCTGTGCGCCCATCCCCGCCGGCTCCGGGCTCCCGCTGCCGGCTGTGGCAAAGCCCCCACCTCCCATTCCCCACGTCCTCCATCTGGGCCATACCACTGCCTCCCACCCCACAACCTCCAACACCCCACTGCACCATACCACTGTCTCCCACCCACCCCACAACCTCCAACACCCCACTGCACCCTCAGCTCCCCCTCCCCAGCCCACAGTCTAGGCAATCCCCCCTCCCTCCCCACCCACAGGCCTGCTGCCACCTTAGGACACTGATTAGGACCAGATGCCCGGGCGGGGGGCCCTGCTGTCCCCCACCCTCCCAGCTGGACACGGCTGCCACGTACCACTTGCTCCTCGGGGTCCCCGCACAGGGTGGGACAAGGCTGCCACTGTCCCCTTGTCCATTATGCTCAGTGGGGCTCCCCCCGCCCGCCTCCCCAGCCCTGCTGCCTTTGTCCCCTGTGCCAGCTGCCCTGAGGGCACCCATCCTGGCTCTGTGCCTTCCTCCTCCTCCTCCTCCTCCCACCCATGGCCTCCGGCAGAGAGCTGGCATCAGCTGCTGGTGCTGGGCTGGTGACACCCAGCTCCTACTACTCCCCATCTGTCACCCACAGGGACACCTGCCTCTCGCTTCACGCTCCTCGGCTGAACGTCACCGCAGCGAAAATCCTCCTACTTGGCAGAAGGCACGGCTGAACGCGGGAGGCTGGCAAAAATAGCGCCGCACGTCGCACACCTTGCACGGGCTCGGGAAGTTTGCAGGGGACGGGGCAAAGGGACTCCGGCCGCCTCTCAGGGCGTCAGCGCGCGGGGGGAACCAAAACGCCGCCCGTCCCGGGGCTGACAGCGGCCCCGTGGCTGCGTGGGGCGGGCAGTCGTGGGGAAAACCATCCAAAACCTCACAGAAAACCCGAGCGAGACGATGGAACCCCCTCGTCCTCTTAGCCACCATTTTGGGCGTTGCTGTTCCGCCTCTCAAATTTTGCACGGGGCGCTGACATTAACGCTTCTGTCACTGGGCGCTGCCGCTCAGGAGCGGAGGCCACCGAGTCCCCACCGCCGGGCACGGGGCACCCGGTGTCACCCACCCTGCCCCAGCTGGAGCGTGGCTAGCTGCTGGCTAGCTGTGCCGGCCCTGGGCTCGCCAGCCCCATGGCGCCGTGGCCCGTCCCGCGATGGCTCACCCACGCGTTCGCTACGCCACGCCACGCCTGCTCTCCAACCCCACCGGCTCCCCTCCCCACTCCCACCCTGCCCCTGCCGACGCCCCGAACTCCCCTGCTCCCTCCCCACCTCAGCAGCAGGGATGGAAAAATGGATTCGCCCCGTTCTTAAGCCGCCCCCCACCCACCCTGGAAGGAGGTGGGGGGGGCGGAGGGGGGGTGCTCGGCAGGGAGCGAGCGCATTCCCGTGTCCCCCCCGCCCGCAGACGGGTCCCTCCGGCTTTGTAGCAGGGGTTGAACCTCCCGGGGGTGCGGGAGGCGGCGGGGAGGGGCAGCAGACCCTCTCCCCCCCATGACAAAATCCCCCGGTGGCGGGAGCATCCCTCCTCCTCCTCCTCCACACACACACACACACGGTCCCACCCTCACCTGGCTGCGAGGCACCTGCGGGAAGAGGTTAAGAGTTGTGGGTCGCTTCGGCCTGTAGACATCCGTGGTCCCGGCCGGGGGTTCCTTCTGCAGCGGCTCGGGCGCCGTCTGCTCCTCGGCCGGCGCGTCCCCCGCCGCGTCGATGAGGTCGAGCTGGAGCATCTCGGCCTGCAGCCGCCCGGCCTCCCCGCCGCCCGCCCGGGCCCCGCCGCCCGCCCGGCTCACACGGCCCTGCCGGGATTAGCGGCCGCCGTCAGGCCACCGGGAGGGGCAGCGGCCGCCGCGCCTCCCGCCGGGGCCGGGGAAAGGGGGGGGGGGGGCGGGGGGGGCCGGGGAAAAGATGGAGCGCGGGGAGGGGGGGGGGGGGGGAGCGATGCAGGCACATGAGCACCCGGCGGCCTCATCCCTTTTAAAGGGGCAGGGATGTTATTCCCCGCGCCCCCCCCCCCCCCCACGGGTGATGGGGCACGCACCCCCCACTCCCCCCCCCCACTCCGGTAGGTACATGCAACCAGCACGTTTGCCACGAAGCCGATGTGCACACCCAGGCTTCGTCTCCGCATCACCAGGGCATTTTTGTTTGTTTGTTCGTTTTTTTTGTTTTGTTTTTGTTTTTGTTTTTTTTTTTTGTTGTTGTTGTTTTTCTTTTTAGTTTAGTTTTTGTTTTTTGTTGTTGTTGTTTTTCTTTTTAGTTTAGTTTTTTTTTTCTTTTTTTTTAATTTTTACAGCGAGAACCACTGCTCAGCGCAACAACCTCCCCCCAGCGCTGTGGGTTTTCAAGGTGCGACCGGGCTGTGGGCTAGCTAATCCCATCTAGGCTCCCTTTCCCCACAAAAGGTTGGGCCAGGTGATCTTCTGAGGTTCCTTCCAGCCCGGGCTGCTTTTCGATTCTTCCTCCCAAGGCAGACCGGGCCCTTTCTTCATTCCTGTTCTGGCAGCTGGGATTCATACAAACACACAATGGTTTTGGTTGGAGGTTTGGTCCAACCCCTGCCTGGAGCAGGTCTCTCGGGGCCTGGCCCGTCACACCTGAATATCCTCAGGGACAGAGAACCTACCACCACGCTGGGGACTGGTGCCGGTGCCGCACTCCTACTACCTTTTCTCTCTACGGCGGGTTAAAATTTTCACTACACACCTCTGAGAGGAGTCAGGCTCCTTCCCTGTAACACCCACGAAGCTTCCGGGGACAGTCACATCCCCGCTCAGCCTCTTCACCTTGAACAAGCCTTTTCTCACACACCCTGCACTTCCACACACCGGGACCTGGAGCCACGCAGAAGGGACCCCTGACCAGCCAGTAGCCCAGCACTAGCTCCCCAGTCACCCACTGGTGGTGGCTGCGCCCTGGCCGGGGGTGTCCACCCCACTCTGTCCCCTTGTGCCCTTCGCTCGTGGAGCGGGGTGGCCACCGCGGCCCGCGAGGGTGGCCAGGAGCAGATGCCCCATCTCACCACCCAAACTGGGTCCCCAGCTTGGAGCCACCGCACTCCTCCTGGCCGTGTTGCTGGGCGAGGAGGCACCCCCTGTCCCCGCCACGGCTGCAGGTGTTTAAAGGTCAGCGGTTTCCTCCCCAAACCGCCTTCCTTGCAGTAGCTGGAGCTTGCACACGCCGAGGTTGCTGCAGCCAGCAATACAGGCTGTGACTTGGCATTAGTGCGTTGAATTCCCCGTGTTATCAGCTGTTTGTGGTGACTGGAAAGCTCGTCAGCGGGCAGAGGTGAAGGGCGTTGTTTTTTTGGTTTTTTTTTTTTTTTTTTTTTGCAGCTGATGCTATCCGTGTCTCTGGCTGCACGGAGGATGTCCCTTCAACCGTGGGAGAAGAAACAGCCCCAGCAGGTCTGGCAGCCCCTCCAAGACCTCTCGTGGGTACCAGCTCCTAGGCTGCGGGACTAAAACGAGCACAGGCAGGGCTCTGCCTGCTGCAGGCACGGCACGAACCCTCTCACGGGGGCCACTTCACCCCGGTGTCCCCGCTGCAGTCCTGACAGGTACCGGCTGAGCACCTGGAGGAGCACTGCTGCCAAAACTCTGGAGGCTTTAAACATTTAAATCCCTTATTTTTAACGTTAGCCTTCGCACGACGAGTTCTGTGTTTCTGTGGCACCGATCGCCTGTGGCAAGTCACATGGATTTTAACAAGGAAACTGAGGCACAGGAAAAAAAAATGGGGGGAAATGCCAGCTAAATAGATTATACCTAGCCAAGATACATGTATTCCAGTCAGCTGGTGGCGTACAACCTAGACTGCTAATGATGCTGCCTCAGTAATCCTGTATCTGTAGCAATCACTCAGAACACTCACAGAGGAGGGAAAGTCCCAGAAGGATGCAGAAAAGAAAACAGTACCTGTTTTGAAGAAAAGTGTGCCCTAGGAGGGATGCACCATTTCAGGTGCAATAGCTAGGAGGAAACCACAGCCACTGCAAGTACTTGTTAATGGCCTGTAGCACTAAAAAGTGATTTTGGAATCACAGAGCAATCGATCACCTTACCACCTGAGTGGGATCCGCGGTGATCTGCAGAGCAAGGGCAGGGACTAGGCATTGGGAAGCCTTTCTAACTGGAAGGACGCTGCCACACCAGAACAGGCTGCCTCGGGAGCCCACTAGGAACGAGCCAACGCCACCTGAGGCCAGCTCATGGCTCAGCACAGACGTGCTGGTGAGGTGACTTCCCAAAGTCCCTACAGCCTGTGGGAGAGATAAGGGTACGTGGGGGAGCAGTACCAGTGCCCGAATTTGCGGCGGGAGGGACACAAGATGCACGCCTGTCCCCCCCGATGGAGTCCCAGGGGGGCTCACGCCTCTGTTACAGAGCTGTCCCTGGGATGGCCGTGATGCTGGCCGGCTCCTGCTCCAACCCACGCCGTGCCATCCCAACGGCACAAAGGCCCAGCGTCCGGCAACTGGTCTCTGATGGTCCCGGCGGGGCTGGAGCGGTGCCAGCCCCGCTGCGATTGTGAGGGCTGGGAGCACTGGTGTAGGCAGGAGCACTGGTGTAGGCAGGAGCACTGGTGTAGCCAGGAGCACTGGTGTAGGCAGGAGCACTGGTGTAGGCAGGAGCACTGGTGTAGCCCCAGCAGGTGTGGGGAGCTGCTGCCGGCCCCGGGGAGGGAACGGATGCTGTTTGCTTCCCCAGGAGTAAAAGGCTCTTGCAAGAGGAGCGGGGTGGGATGCGAGATGTTGCTTGCATGACCATGGTCCCTCCTCCCCGTGGTCGAGTGAGCGAAAGGCGCTCCCCTGCTCCCCCAGCCCTGCAGCTTTCCCTGTCAGAGGACGAGTGTCAACATCTTCAGCTGGGGAAAGCGTTTTATGAGCATGGGGAAGCAATGGGGACTTGCTGAGCTGCGTCCCCTCTCTCTACCACCCGGCTGGGACTGCTTCCCTCCCGGCTTCAAAGCCCCCAGCCCGGCGCAGCTGCAGCTAGCGATGGATCCCAGAGGTGGCTTCCCGGGACAGCGTTTGAAAAGCCGCCCCAGAGTCAGCAGCCACCTCGCTGCCGTCCCCTTTGCTTCCAGGACGTGTCCCCGGCTCCCCTCTGGTCCCCCGATCCGCAGGGTGGCCGGCCCGGTGGCTGCTGCCATCAGTACGCTGGATCAGTGACGGCGAGCATCAAGAGGAAGCCTGGCATTTCCAGCAGTCTTATTATGCTGGAAAAACAAAGTGTTTTGGGTTTTTTTCTCCACATATCTGTACCTTCATGGTCAGCTCAGTCCTTTTGATGCAGACCACGAAGCCTTGTATTGGCTCTTTTCCTTTGGGCATTCATTCTCGTGCTCTCAGGTATTTCCAAAAAGGTTATTTCTTTTCTTTTCTTTTTTAAATTCATTCCTGCATTAACCATTTTCCACATCTCCTGGAATACAGATGAGGCACCAAGCCTTTATTAACCACAGCCTGGCGGCTTGTCGGGATCCATCTTCATGAAACCAGGGATTGTCAGCCCGGATTTCCAAACCACTAAACCGAAGCCAAACCTAAAGCAAAGGCCTTGTGTTTCTGTTGCAACCGTCCCTCTCAACGTGCCCAACTGCTGCCGTTTGCGAGGCAGGGGTGGCATCCCTCCTCCCCAGCCGGCCTCCTGCCCTGCTGTTCAACAGCCCAAAAGGCAGCTCTGCCCCTCCGCTGAGCCCTCTCCTCAGCCCACCCCTCTCTTCACTCCCGGTTTTCATTCACCCGGGACTTCTTGTTGAAATTCAGGGCTTCTGCAGCTGCGCTTGGGATTATTCCTCATTCTTAGTCCATAGCCTTCTGTCCATGAGGTGCGGTCCTTGTCGGTGGGTAGTTCCCACTTGTACAAATATCAGTCTACGCCTCCTTGCTGTTTCTGTGTGTCTGAGCCCCTATTTCTGGAAAGCTGCTAAAATAGCCCGCAATGAAGTCATCTTTGTTTTTCCAGGACCAAAAAAAAAGCCCCAAACCCCACCTGTGCTTGGGTGTTGAGCTCCGCACCGGCAGGCCATTCCTGCCATGGGGTTCTGCCGCTGAGCAGCTCTGCCCAGACCTCCCCTCACCTCGCCGAGGGGTCGTCCCCATCCAACCAGCCCTCCGGCAGGTTTGTCCCCTTGCTCCTTCCCGGCAGCTCACCCCGCATCCCTCGCTCCACCGCCGGGCTTTCTCTAGCCGCCTGGTATTGCGGGGGCGACCGGGGCCACCCCTCCATCCTCCGCACCACGGCACCGAGAGCTCGCCACGGGCAGGGCATCGCCATGGGCCCCCCCTACCCCCCCTCACCAGCTCTGGCCCCGGCGTGGGACTCGCTTGCCGGGCCAGCCACCCCCACGCGATGCCATTAGCTGGCCGGTGCCGGCCGCCGGGTCGTTCCTGATTTGCTGGCCCCCGCGGCGCGCGCAGACCCGGCCAAGCCGCTCCCGCTGGGCCCGGCTGCTGCCATCAGGCAGATCCTGCAGCCCCGTCGCCACGAGCTTGCTCTGGATGGCAATCGGGTTGGAAAGCTCCCTGCCTCTCGCCTTCGATGTTTGGGATTGAAGAGCCCCTCTCGCCGCTGTTGTTGTCACCGCTTTCGGTTCTGCTCCTCGGGCAATCCTCCATGTCCCATAAAAACCATTCGGATATATTTTTAGCAGGTTGGTTTTTGTTTTGTTTTGTTTTGTTGGTTTTTTTTTTTCCTGAGTGTGGTAGGCTTCTTCCTTCGCTGTGTTTATGAATAGCTCATTGCTTCCGCCGGAGCAGCCTCACATCTCCCTTCCACCCCAGCAGACTCTCGGTGCACCCGGGCGTTTGTGTAAAGCAGCTCCGAGCCATCCCCGGGGAAAGCGTGGGGCTCACTGCTGGAGCCTGAGCAAACCCAACACCGAGACTCAGGTCTCTTCATCGCAGCTCAAGGATGCAGTAAATTGCTTTAAATGGGCAAAACAGTCTATTTTCCCTCACCCTCAAGGAAGGGCTGCAGCAGTTGAGCTGCAAGGCCCCCTCCCACCTCTTACCCTCCCTGCCAAACCTCAGCCAAGGGCTGGCAGTCAGTAAAGAAAAAAGAAATTCTGTCCTAAGAGCCCGGCGGTGCTATCAGCAGCAGAGCACTGGGACAGCTAATGGAATACATCCAGCAATGCACCCACAGCCCCTGCCTGCCTCATCTATTGCAGGCAGGAGGATCTCCCCGGTGTCCTGCCCTCGCTGCGGCTGTGCCCTCATGGACACCCAGCTCCAGGTTTGCCTTTGGTTTTTTGCCTCCAGCGTTATCCCTCCTTTCTTCAGTGTACACAGCCCGTGAGCTCAGGGTCCCCCTGTCCTTCCCCGGACGTAACGCCCTGGAGCAGGAGGAGGCTGCGGACTGAGCAGAGATGTGGAACAGCAGCCCTGTCTCTGGGAACATGCAAATTTCTGCTGGGAAGGTCCCAAATTAGACCAGGGAGCACAGCGGGTCACCTTCACCTCCCAGGGATGAGCTCTGCCTGAACCCCCCTGCCTGCAGTAAGGGATTCCCAAGACCACAAATTCGCTTCCTAATTTTAAATCTGAGACAAATTCCTCTGCTTTTCCCCTCCTTGCTGGGTCTTTATCAGTTTTGCAGAGGAAATATTTCTCCTGAGGGACAAAACGATTCTCAAACCATTTGGGTGCTCCTCCAGCATTTGCACCTTCTTAGCATGAAACACATCGTCAAGATGCAGAATCCCTACGTGTTTCCAAAGCCAATGTAATTCTCAGTTTAGCTCCACGTTTTTGCACCCCATGGCCTTCTCAGGCAGGTCAAATAGTGGCGTGAACCCCACTGAGGTCTCTGCAGCGTGCCCCAGGGTGCTCAGGGTGGATGGGAGAGCCACCTGCAGCACCCGCACAGGCTTCACGGCTCCTGGTTTTTATTTCACCCGCTGCCTGCTGGGGTCAGAGCCACCTCCTCCACCCCTGTCTCACCAGCTCTCCTAAATGCCTGAGGGCAGCTCTTGTGAAAGGCAGCTAGGAAGCCAGCAGGAACGCCCCGGGGTGAGCAGGGGAGAGCTGTCACCCCTGCCAGCCCAGCCGCACCTCCAGGCACGTGGCGGGCAGGAGGCACAGCCCGTGGGGGGCATTTTGGTGCCACCTCGCACACGTCCTCGTCATCCCGAGGATGCTCATCGGGTGCCAGAGGCTCGCTGGCCATCCCACTCATATGGGGGGGCACGCCCCGCAGCGCAGCTCGCGCCCAAACCCTTAGGCTCATCCCCGAGGAACAAACTCAACCCCCCTCCAGCACAGTGGGAACCAAATGCTTTTTTTTTGACCCTTGGGTTTGGCCGGCTCAGGAAGGGTTTGCACTGTGCAGCGGTGAGGAGAGGGCACTGGCTTAGGGTCGTGGCAATGCGCGCCTTGAGGAAACATCGCTGGCCTGGGGACCTGGTAGTCCTGCGTGGGAGCCGATGGTCCCGCCAGCCCTACCGACACGCTCTGCTCGTCCCCAGCCCCATCCCCATGGCGCCTACCCGGGTGGCCAGGCTTTCCTTGCAGTGCAGGCTGATTCCACACTCGTCGGTGATCTCGGAGAGGTCTTCATCCTCAAACTCCTCGAGGCTGATGTCGTGGGTGAGCCTGGAGGGAGCGGAGATGGCGTGATCACCCGCTGCCCAGGCGGCGGGCGGGAGGGTGCGGGGCGGCATGCTGGCTGCGGGAGAGGCACTCCCTGTCTTTACTGGGAAGAAAGACTGGGAAGGGGGATCCTTCCAGAGGGGATGGGTCTGTCCCCACCAAATGGCTGGGCTTGGCATGGCCTGCGGCTGTTGGGGGGGGAAGGAGGGGTGTGCCTCAAACCAGCCCCTGCCTGACCGAGGGCAGCAGGGACGTGGAAGTTGGGAGAGCATGGGACAGCCCTGGCCCAGGAGGTTCAGCTCCCACCATCCCAGGGAAGGGAGGCTCGGGGGTTGTCCCAGCTGGGCACAGACACCCAGCAGGGCAAAGGCCCGGGTTACAGGGAGGGAAAGGGGTGGGGGGTCCTGGCAGGGCACAGCTGGAGGATGGACCCGCCGGGATGGGGGACAATATCAAGACCCGCAGACCTTGCAAGCGCCACAAACCACGACACGGCCAGTCCCCGAGCCACGGCTGGGAGGGATGTCCCAGCCCAGGTGCCTGCAGTGAGAGAGGGCAGTGATTGCCCTCTGCGCCAAAATCACTCCTCAGGGTGACTGCGGACATCCCCGCGGCCATCAGTGCTGCCAAGCGCTCCGGCATGGCCTCTGGGGTCCCTTAGGGCTGTCAGCCCCACAGGTTCATCACACCCCTTCAGAAAGTTTACAGAGATATCCTTTTAGCAGCTGGAAACGTGCTGATGAGCGGGCTCCCTGCGTGGTTGCTTGAATCCCTGGGGGGGGACGGCGAGGCGCTCCTGGCTTCTGTGCATTAAAACATTTCTCCGTGGTGGTACCGCAGTGCTCCTCTCGCTTATTCATTATCACGGGGGTAAAATAAAGCAGCCCAGCTCGAAAGTCCTCTGCCAACCAACTCAGCCCCGCGAGTTTTGTCTGGAGCGGCCACAGGCCCTGCTTTGCGTGCCACCGTTTCCATTTGCCCCCAGCTCCTCGGGCTGGGCTGGGAGGTGCTGAGGGGAAAGCACCACACCGAGCCCATCGCCCCCTCGCCAGCTTCGCCCCCACTGACCTGCAGAGCTCCCACCCTCGCTTTAAGCATCGCTCGGGCACCTTGGGGCTCCCCCCACCCCCGCAGTGGCACCAAACCGGTGCCACGGCGGGGTGACACCTCCCTCGTCCCAGCCCTCGGAGGAGGGAAGAGGGAAGGAGAAGCAGCAGCCCTGGGGGAAGCAGCATCTTGCCTCCGTGTTTCTGAGGACCCTACCAGCAGTGGGCTCCTGGGGTGAGGATGGCCGGGAGCGACTCTGCTCATGGGGGCAGCCCCCCTGAGATGCATCGGGGCGGGGGGGGGCAGGGACACAGGCATGTCCAGATACCCCCCCCCCCTCCCCCCTTATCCCCCCGCCCATCTCCTGCTGCTGCCCATGGGAGGGAGGGAATGCAGAGCAGGAGGCTCATGACGAGCCTTCAAAGCAAAAAATGGATTTCTTCTCCGGTTACGCGAGTCGCCGGGGTGGGATATCACCGGCCGCTAATGCTCGGGGCCTCCACCGGCCCCAGCGTGGGGAGCGCAGCGGGGGCCCGGCGAGAGGCACAGCCTTGCCGAGGGGCTGGCAGGGGCTTCGCAGGAGCAGCCGGGGCGGGTGGCAGCACCCTGCGCTCCGGGATGGGGACAGGCAACCCTGCCCGGTGCCCTCGGGGACGGGGAGATGCTGCGTGGGTGTCCAGCGCCGGCCTTGCCTGCAGATGCTGGTGCGTGGCAGGATGCGGCCGGCTGCCTTTGCGGCTCCCTGCGCGGCGGGGAAAACTTTGGGCTTGACTGCGTGCCAAGTTCGCTCCTGTCCTGTGGGCATCGCTCGAGGAGAAAGGTGATGCACCCAGGGGCTAGGGGCTGCCCCTCATCCCCCTGCGGGCCCGCGGGACAGCCCCCCCCTTCCCCAAGGCCCGGCCGGTCCCCTACCATTTCTCCCACTGATCTTCCAGCCAGCTCTCCTCCTCGGTGCTCGACTCCATTTTCAAGGGCAGCTGCATTGAGAAGGAACCCCCCTTCCCTGGGGGACACGCTCCCACCCCAAAAAAGACCCCCAGGCCAAGAAGGAGTGAGGGAGATGACAGCCGAACCCCAGGCGCCCGCTGCCCCTCCGCCTGCCCCGTCGCAGTCTGTGGCTGCTGGCGCTGCTCTGTCTCCTCACTGCGCAACCTGGGGAAGCTCATTAAAAATAGATGGAATCAGCTGTCCTGGAGGGGGAAAAAAAAAAAAAAAAAAAATAACCTCCCCAGCTGAGCCAGTGCCAAGTCCCTGCACTCTGCTGGGGATGCTGACTGCCTCCGCCTGCCAGCCAGCCAGCCCGGCTCCTGGTCCTGCTCCAGCGCCCGCTCCCCAGCTCCCGCAGCGCAGGGGATCTGCTTACCCCGGCACGGACACCCACGCCACCTGGCCTCCTCCTCCTCCTCCTCCTCCTCCTGCCCTTGCAGCATCTCTGGCTGAGCCAGGGACGCGGGGCTCTGCCCCTCGCTGCCCCGCCGCAGCGGCGGGATCCCTTCCTGCGGGAGATGGGAGCATTCGTCCGGCTCCTCGCCAGGTAGAGCACCGACGCAAAGGGCCCGGAGCTTCCCCAACCTCTAACCCCTGTTAAGGGCCAGAGAAATAACTGGTGAGCTGCTCTGCCAGCTCCCAGCCCTCTTCTGCTCCCAAAGGGAATTGGGGCTTTTCCCAGGAGGGGGCTGCCAACGAACTGTTGGCGCAGCGGCCTCAGATAATCCTCCATCACCCCCACGCCTCTCGGACCCACTCGCCGCCCACCGGCACGCCGCAGACTGTGAGCCTCTGCAGAGCCCTTCGCCCCTCGCCCCGTCGGGATGGAGCCGGAGCAGCTCTGGGAAAGAGGCGCCCACCCCGATTTCAAGGTGAGGACAGGGCATCCCCCCCCCCTGCCCCGCTCCGGCTCCCCACCAGCTGCACGTACAGTGCTCTGGCACCCAGCGGGGTCGCGCCCCACGGCCACCCACCGCAGCACTGCCCTCCTGCCCCACGCTGGCACAAACCCCCGGAGCTCTCCTCGGCCCCCCCAGCCCAGGGGTGCATCCCCCACCAGCCTGACCAGCACTGCTTGGGGACCCGGCCTCGCCCCCGCTCCGTTTAAGGTGGGGGGACATTCGCAGGAGTCCAGCTCACTGGGTGGCCCGGACCAGTCCCCTGAGCCACCCCAGTGCTGGCTCTCGCCCCACCAGTGCCATGCCACCGGCGAATGTCACTCGTGATACTGTGCTCATTGTCTCTCAGATCCCCGATAACAGTATCCAGGGCTCCATCTTCCCTATCAGCTCTGCCTGGAGGCACCTCATCTGCTCGAAACCTCCTCGCTTAATGCGATGAATAAAGAAATCTCTATTTCTGTGTTACTCCTGCTCAGATGGATGCTCCAGGACTTCCTAGGAGATACAAGGAAGGCTCTCCATTATCCCCCCACTGCCGCTCCCTGTGCTGGAAACACCCCTGCTTTTCTCTCTTGCTTCTCAAAGAGGCTAAAAATACCAGCAAAATGCAACAGCTCTGACTCCACTCAGTTCCATCATTGGCAGCAAAAGTCTGAGCAGGACCTACACGGATATTTTGACCAACTTCCCTTTCCAGCGGCAGCAGCGGAGGCACCAGCATCGCAGGTATGTGGGATGTTGCCCCCCGGCTCTGGCTGCGAGGGTGGGAGAGCCCTGTGCTCTCAGAGGTTGTGGGTGCTCTCCTGAAGGGTGTGCTGAGAGGCACCCGGAGGCTGGCAGCCCGGCTGAGAACCGACAAACTCGGGACAGCCGGGAGCTGCGAGTGAGGGAGCACACGTGGGTGCGTGAGCAGAGGCAGCCGATACCCGCCCGCGGCAGGAGCAGCTTGATCACAGTTCTAATAACAGCCCTATAATCAAGCCTGGCTTCTGTGCCTCCCCCGACTCCATCCCCTGTCAGGGAAAAGGGGATTTACAGCGTCCCCTCCCCAGCCCGCTGCCGCTGCGTGGGGTTTCTCACGCGGGGACTTGGCCAGGGCAACACCGCACGATGGAGCTGGGGGCTCCAACAAGCCCGGCTGCCCGGGCCACGCTCCGATATTCCGCTCCCGGGCAGCGCTGTGTGGAAGTCCTGCAACCAGCACCAGTGGGGAAAATAGTACTATCCAACATTTGCCTGGCCCTGGGTTTTTCCTTCCATCGCAAGAGACACCGAAACTCTATGATTAGACCCGAGGAGAAAGCGCTTCTCCCTCCATCAGAGGACAACAGCCCTTTCGTCTCCCCTCGCAAGAAGACAGGTAGCCCCTCTCCGACGCCCAGCCTGTTGCCTCCAAACAGGCTCTTCCAACGGCTCCAGATGACACATAAAACAACCCATAGTGCTAGGATTGATTTTTCGCCTCAGCCTGAAGGTGCTTCTTTGAACTTCCCGAGGAGATGGAGGGGTCTCCTTCCCCCAGAGACCTCCTCCCCTCCTGAGGCCCCGGCAATAGCACAAGAAAGGGCTGCGATTTCCCACAGGGCTCCCCAATGAGCAAAGTAGCTCCCCCTCTCTCCTGACCCATGTAAATAACTCCCTGTGGGATTCCTTCCCTAGGAGCCTTCATGCCCTAGCAGCTAGGTGGGTGTTTTTTGCTTTTATTAGAGTAAACCAGAAGGAGCTGGAGGAGATCAGTCGCTGACACCCCGAGAAGGACCTTTTCATTGCTGTGTCCTAAAACGCTGTTATTCTTGTGGTGAGCAGCTACTTCTGGAGGTGCTCCCGGCTAAAGGAGGGCTCACCTCACCATCCTGCTCCTCCCACCACCTTCTCAGACGACACCAAACCATCACCGGCAACGGGGACCTGCCAGACCACCACCCCTGGCCTCTTCAGAGCTTCAGACCCCAGCCCATCCATCGGGCTGCTTGCTGACCATGACCAAGCCCTCTCTCGATTCAAGCCAACCGATCACCGAACGCTCGCGCCAACGTGTCGCTCCTCGGGGAGCTGGAAGTACCAGAGGGCCGAAAAGCCGAAACGCCCTCGCCTTAAGCCACGCTTATCATTGCTGGCACCAGCTCGGCTTCGTGGGGTGTCCCCTGGCTGAGCCCCCGCAGCCGGGATGCAGGGAGGGGGGCACCTGGGACAGGCACAACCCCAGGCTGCGCCACTTCACCCAGGCTCCTCGCTGTTTTGCCAGCACGGCTCCCTCCTCGCACGCCGCCCCCCGCCGCAGCCTCGCCCCCGCTCTGCCAGACCCTGCCCCAGGCTCAGGGGACATCACCGGCGTCTCCTTCCACTTCAAGGCTGGCACCCCGAGCTCGGCGCCCGGGGAAGAGCTCGCTCCCCAACCTTGACTCCCCAGCTTCCCACCCGGCTGCACGGCCTCCCCGCGCGGAGGCTGGTTCTTCCTCGGGGTGCGCCGGGCTCCCTTTCTAAAGGTCCGTGGCACAGCAAGAAGTGGCACCTCGTTTTCCCTCCCGGGGCATCGCTGTTTGCTGGGGTGCAGGAGGGTGCCCCGGGGCCAGCCGCTACAGCCAGGACAGCGCTGGCTGGCGAGCCCGACCCTCTCCTGGGCCTGGAGCTGCTCGGCAGCTCAGCCTCGGTGGCCGAGCCCCTTCACCGTGGTGGATGTTTGCAGAGGCAGCGTTTAACCGCTCGATTTGCAGGGTTTACCCAGCCATGTTGCAACAGCTCCCAGCAGCTCTTGCAGCCAGCGCTGCAAGAGGAGGCGGCTGCCGAAGCGCCGGAGCCGCTCGGCGAAGGGGCTCAGGGAGTGTTGGAACCCTTCAGGGGTAAATTGAGCACCACCGTAGCTGGGTGGCACCTGCCTCCTTCCTCAACAGGGACCCACTGGCCCCCAAGCCTCGGGGGGGGGGGGGGGGGGGGGGGCTGGGGCCTGCTAGGGGTAGGCATGAGCTCAGCCGTGGCCCCCAGCGTGGACCAGCTCCTCTTTTCCCTCCCCAAAACCTCACCCCACAAAGCAGGCAGTACGGATCCCCCCCTTTCTCAGCCAGCTCCCCCGCAGCACCCCTGGGTGCCAGGGAGCAATGGTTGACGGTGGCACAGCTGCCAGGAGCAGCCAGCCCCCGCCCAGGGCGGCCAGCGAACAGCGCCGGGCACCGCGCCTGCAGGCAGTGGCACAGCTCCCTTACCCGCCCAGTGCATCCCAGTCCCAAACCTGCCCTCAGGAGGCATCGGAGGCTCCAAAACCCCCGGCCCCCCCCCACCCCGGCCAGGCCCGTGCCATCAGAAGTCCCCGTGAGTAGCCTCGTTGGGTTTTGGAGGAGAGACAGCCCCCTGCATCCCAAATCGATGGGAGCGCTTGGTATTGCCGAGAGGATCAATTCTGGCACTCTCCCACCATCTCGCTTGGGGTTCCCATCTCACAGGGGTGGGAAGGAAGCGGGAGCACCTGGGGTTTCTAGGAAAGGGCTAGAAAAAAAGCATTGCTGGGGGTGGGGGGGAAGAGACGAAGCTTTTTTTTTTTTTTTTTTTTTTTTTTTCGTGAGGAAGAGGTGTTTGAAGAGGAGATAAGCCAGGTAAGGAGGTCAGGGGGGTTGGAGGGGGACATGGGGCCGAGCGGGGGGGCTGGTGGGGTGAGGGCCAACATGGTGTGTGTGTGTGGGGGGGGGGATCTGAAACAATATATGGGGTGGGCGGGCTGGGCAGTGATGGGGGGGGCTGAAGCGGTGTATGCGGTGGGGGTTCAGCGGTGCCTGGGGTGGGGGGGGGGCCGGAGGGCCGGGTGGGGTGGGGGGACCGAAAGGATGCGCGGGGAGGAGGCAGAAGCGCTGGAGGAGGCGGGGGGGGGGGGGTTTGGGGCTGCAGCAGATGGGGAGCGTTGCCCGGGGTGGGGGGGGGGTGGGGGGCAGGGGCAGCCCCGCGGGGGTCCCGGGTTGGGTGGGTGGGTGGGGAAAGCAACCGGTACCTGAAATTAGGAGGCGAGGCGAGGTGCAGCCCCAGGAAGGGGGAGGAGGCGGGCGGGGATGCGGCTCCTTTCTCTCGCTCCGCCATTCTGTGGCTCTCTCCATGCAGGCGGAGGGCGGGCGAGAGGGAGGGAGGCAGGGAAGGAGGGATGGAGGGAGGGGGATGCTGGCGGTGCCGGCGGGGAGGGACATACCTGCCGCCGGGGAGGGGGAGTGGTGAAGCGAGGAGGAAAGAAGGCGGGGGGGGGGGGGGGGGCGCGGTCCCTGGGGGCTCCTTCCCGGCGGGAGCTGCAGGACAGATGTGCCCGCAGCTGGAGTCAAACCCCCCCCCCCCCCCCCCAATCCCAGCCGCAGCCCCCGGGAGGCAGCGGCCCCCCGGGCTGCACCCCCTGACACCCCGGTGCGGTGGGGGGGGGGGTGTCCACGGTCTCCCCCAGACCCAGACACACGGGGCTGCTTGCAAGGGGGGTGTGTGTGGGGGGGTTCTCCACAGCGGGGACAGGCCCGGAGGCAGCAGGAGCAGCAGCTAAAACCAGGCTAAAACCTGCCCCCCCCCGGGTTTGCAGCACCCGGCTGGCAACATGTCTGGCAACCCCCAGCCCTGGTGAAGCTTGCCAGGGCTGTTTGCACAGCAAGGGGAATTTAAAAAGTAGTTTATATACATGTTCCACAAGCGCAAGGCAGAGGGGTTTGGGGGGGGGGCGTGGAAATGCATCTCAAGGTTGCAGGTCTCTCCCCAGAACAGACAGGGAGCACCTTAGCTTGGGGGAATGCTCTTCGCTGCCACCCTTCCCCACCAGCCCGAGCAGCAGGTTTCTCTCCCCTCCCTCTCCTCCCCCTGCTTTGCAGGCTACCTCGGAAACCTGTGCAGGTTGTGCTCCGCACAGAAGTGGGCAGCATCACTACTTTCAGGTCCCAAGGCCACTTCTGGGTGTGAGCAGGAGAGCTTTTGGTAGTCCCCACACGCTCACCGTGCTCCCGGTTACTGCCGGCGACCGTCCTGGATGGGGTGGGTGGCACGGCTTTAGCGGTTCGAACTCGTAAAGAGACAGCAGGTCCCATCAGCGCTTCTCAAACCGGGGAGTTGACTGCCACCGAGGCAGCAATAGGAGTTCTTGGCCAAGACCCAGGCCGTCAGCTGCTCCTCCCCAGAAGAGCAGGCAGAATCCTCCAAGGCACACAGCCCTGCTCCCTCTCGGGGAGCCTTGGTCTCCTGCCAGACAAACTCGACAGAGATGTTACTCCAGGGCCAGCGTGGAAACAAGCACACCCCCACAGCGTCACCATGCCCAGGTAACCCCGGGACAGCCTCTCCAGAAGAGCTGGGTGTCCCCTTCGCTGTCACAGGGAGCGTGCGGGACCCAAGAGACTCACCAGCACCCATCCCTTCAGGGGCTGGGGGAGCTCTGACACAGCTCCATCTCAAAGCATAAACCCCAGGTACCAAACCCACGATTCCTCGGCAGCGTGGCTGCCGTTTGGCCCCTGACCCGGGGCGGAAGGGAAGGCTGCTCCTCCTCCTCCTCCTGCAGCTGGATCACCACCAGCACGTCTCACCTTCTGCTGGGGAGGCCGAGCATCCAGAGCTCCCCCCAGCTCCGCTCATCAGCCCTTTCGTCCCGGCCCGGGCTCAGGCCGGGCTGGCAGGACGCCCGCTTTGCTGCTCACACCTCCTCGTCCGCACGGCAGAGCCCGCGGCCTCTGGGAGAGCGCGTGTCCATCTCCTGCGAAACGCAGGCCACGCTTCTGTCCTAGCCCACGCCTCTTCTCCCAAGGCATCTGCTGTCTTTTTTTGTTTCTTTAAAACCGTCCAGTTGACCATCAGGTTCACTTCACACGACTGTTCTCAGCCTTAAGTTAAACCCGAGGAAAGGTTATGTGCTGAGGAAGGTTTTCCTGCTCCTCTCCCCCGGCAGAGCCACCCCACCTCCCCCCAGATGCAGCTGGGACACCGGACTAGCGCTCTGCTCTCCTTCCATCAGCCATCCCTCCCACCGCTCCAGTTTCTCCTCCGCCTCAGCCGCCGCGGCTCTGGCTCCCATCTCTTCATATCCAGGTGCGTTTTCTGCTTCCAAACCTTTCAGCCAGCCCCTCCTGAGGCTGCTCCAGCCCCTCCTTTGTGTGGACAGATGAGACAGGAGGGAAGGGAATTTCCCCAGCCACCAGCACATGGAGCAGGCAGTCACCCTCTGCTAGAAACCCAAGGCTAGCCAGTTTCCACCCTTAGCCACATCGCCGTCATTCCCTTGACAGGGGGAACAGATGTTCTGGCCAGCACACAGAAGGAGCCTCAAACTCCACCTCTCCAGGTTTAATTTACATTACTACACTCTGGGTGCAGGAAACTGGACTGAGTCTGCTGTCATCCTGGCCCTTCATCTTCTAAGGCACAGGCTGCTATTTTCAAAAATGTTTTTGTCATGTGCGAGCCACGTCAAGCACTGAAGTGTTACTTCTTCAGGCCGACAAGGTCCTTGATGGAGATGAGAGAACTCAGCAAGAGCACGACGGCACCCTCACTCCGTCAGCCAACGCACCGTACACGTTTCCCTCCCTGCAGACCAGACCCGCGCTCTCCTCTCCAGCACCTCTCTGAAACACCACTTGCATCTTCAAAACCTCCCTTTTGCACCTCAAACGTGCCCAACAAATTAGACGCCAAATTTTAAAGGCTTATATATGCGAAATATTTTCAGATTGTGTCTTGGCTGTGTTGGGTCATTTGTAAATAATCGCTTGGTTGGCGTTCGGACGGGTGCTACCCGAACACGCCCCGCTGAGGCTAACGCTCCAGCACTGCCAAGCCTGCAGCGAGGAGAAACTGCGCGGCTACTTGCACCTCCTGAAGTCTTGGCTGAGTACTGAGAAAGTAATGTACCTCACGTAATTCTCCAAAGAGTTTGTTTGTTTGTTTGTTTGTTTGTTTTTTTAAAAAAAAAGGTTCCAGTAATTGGGTTTGTACCCATGAGGATGGCATAATGCACAAGCAGAACTTTACTCCAACCACATCCCAGCTAGTCACCAGACTGCTATGTCGTGGTGTATTTAGCATCAGTTTATGACTTAGCTGAAGAACCGCAAGAGAAAAGGCTCAATCACCGACAGGAGACCCACGCTGAACAACATTCACATTGCCTGTAGCTCTGCCCCAACACTCCCCCCCACCCCGGCAGCTGAGAGCAGCCTCCACACCACCCTGGGGGACATCCTGAAAGCCTCTGCTCTCGCAGCATCGAACCCCGAGAGCTCACCCTACGCCTGCTTTGGGGGTGCCTGTATCAGGTCGGGTATTGCCACCTAGCCCCCCCAAAACAGTCGCTATAATCTCAAACTGGCACCCGTTTCATGATGCTTTCTTATCTCAGCCTCCAGCAACCCTCTGCTCCTTCCTGAAAAAAAAAGATGGTATCTTCACTAATGGTTATTGATGGATTTTTCTTTCAAGGCCTGGTCGAGCCTTTTTGAACTCAAACCATTAGCAGCCACAAACTAGGAAGGGCTCGCCACGAAAACGTCTAAGTAAGGAAGGTGCAGCCTCGTTCAATCTGCCATCTTGTAGTTTAACTGAACACGCCCGATCCTAAACTTTACAGAAAACAGCAGTCATCCCCTACTCCTTTGTCACACAATTTCACACGCTTCTATCATTTCAGCTGGGAAGATACCAGAGTGGATTAATCCCAGCCTACTTAACAGCCTTCTGGCAGGAAGTTTTTCCTGTATCTTTGGTTGGCCTTGCACTTCTCTGTGTCCTTCCCAGTTCTACACCTGAACTGCAGCTCTCCCGAGGTGCCACCATCCACATCACGGACAGAAAGCTTGCAAATGTGATTTCTTCCTTACCCACAAAGCTTTCTAAGAGATCACTAAGAAGATTTTGCCTCCCCCTCCCCTTTGGCTCCTTACCCCCATGGATCCAGCCCCAAAAATGCCACTTACAAAATGAAATCATTTGGGTGACAGCAAAGAGAGGGTTAGAGACATTTATATATATATATATATTAAAAAAAAAAGTCATATTTACAGACCATTGCCTAAGCATGAAACTCTCCAAATGACAGAAGTCACAAATTCTGTAACCTAAGTGTACAAAGTGCATGTCTTTTCCCTTTCTTCTCTCTGTAGCAGAAGATGGGGGAGGGTCTCTTTTTCTTTACACCTTTCTACCCTCAAAACAGTTGCAGTAAGGTCTGGGTCAGGCTGAAGGAGACAAAACTTCTTGACTACTGGGTTACCCACCAGGCAGATTCTACAAAGTGGTTTAAAGAATGTAAGGACAGGAAAAGTGACCCTTTTACTTGGTCAGTCTGCCCAGTGGATTCCCTTGGGAAAAGGAAACTAGGGTCAATGCCCCAGGGAAGTGAGTGGGAAGGAAAGGTTATTCAGCTATTCAATAAATTAACTCACAGACCCAACTCAGCCACTCCAGGTTTCCCAGATACATCTGAGTCAAGTTTCTGTTTGAAGCCCCACCGCCCTGGGTTCAAACATGTGCTCCAAAACTGAATCTGATTATCCCAGTCAGAGTGGGAGACAATTCCTATGCTCCCCGAAAGCTGTTAGTTACATAAGCTCACATATAGGCCTACACTTTCTGTGCCAGGCGGGGATGAAAGGTTTTGGACAGCAAATGAAAATAGTGCCAACAGCAGCCCTTTGCACAGGATTAACGACTTGATCTAATCCCTCTTGAAAATGGCCAAAAAAAGAGGCTGTTCTGCAGTACTACCCTCCCTTGCCCTCTTAGGTGGGAAGG